ATGAAGCAGCAGAAAAGCTAAGTGTGTTTCAATTTTCAGGGTTTTCAAAGCCTCTTTCTAGATCAGGCTGGTGTCTATGCCATCAACAGATTGTTTCCCCTCCCCTTTTGGAGGGTTTTCTCTTACAGTTTGCCCGCAAGTAACAATTGATACTGTCTAGTTGCAGACAGCAAGCATTAATATGACATCTTGTGTTTCTCACAAGATGGAACTCTCTCCTGCACAAACCAATTCTTAACCATAAATGTCAGGGACAGAACCAAAACTTCAGAAAGTTTCGAACTATAAAATGCCAGTTAGCATAAACTCAGCTTGGTTATGAGTCAATGACCTCAGATCACACTCAGCTTTTGCAACAAAAAGGAAAGCACCGGAGATCCTAAAATCTATATAACAACGAACACATCAGAAAGTTGGACCTCACAAGCTTTGGAAAATGTTGCGTGAAAAAATGTCCGATACCCCCAAGACTTCACAAATGCGTAGAAAGTACTGAATAATCCTCCAGAGTCATAACTACTGAATCTGAAACGATGGGCAGATCAACAAATGTCAGGATTAAGTTGAAGATACATCCAAAGATAGATAAATGTAGGAGCCAAAAACAAGTTCCAAGCCAAGCCAGGAACTTAAAGACAAAACCAAGCATTGTAACCTCGGCCGGCTTATCTTACCAACTAATTAATTTTTAATAACTGTGTAGTAATGTAATGACCACAAAAAAAAAACTGAGAAAAGGTTCCTTGAGGAGTTGCAGAAGCAAGAAGATGGAAGGTTGAAACAATCAGCTCAAAAGACCCCTACTACCCGAAATTCAAAAGGCAAATGGCAGATGCAGGCCTGCTCTCCCCTATTTTGTTTCTTTCGTTTGTTCTGTTGTTCAACATCCATTTTCTTCTAAACAAAAGATATCACAAGCGAGGAAGAAGATAAAACTAGACCAGCTCAACAGAGTGGTCTTGGGTGCAAGTCAATTGGAAAGCAAATGGAGATGTCCGCCATGAGAGTACAACTGTGAAAACAATATGGACGGCCACAACAATGAACCAATCTATATATTCAATCATCACCTGAAGTGGATTCAACCCAAAAAAAAGCCTCTTTTCTTTGTATCCTTTCTCTCCATGAAACAAAGAAGCCTCAGAAACACAATGGCCCTTGTTTATCTATTCTGTCTTATTATCTTTCTCCACTCCAAGTCTCACCATGCACAAGCAATCAAACCCACAGCTGAAGTAGCAACAGACCAGAAAGAAAGCTTACAAATCTTCATTGTCCATGTCAACAGACCAGCCGGCACAACTTTGGCCGAGTCAGCAGATAACAAGGCTTTTTACCAGTCATTTTTACCAATTACCATCGCGAGCTCCGAGGAAGGTGACCGTTTGCTCTATGCTTACAACCATGTATTCACCGGCTTTGCAGCAAGGCTTACACCAAAAGAAGTGAGTAACATGGCAAAGAAGGATGGGTTCGTGAGAGCTTACCCTGAAAGGATATTTCATATCCAGACGACAGAAACCCCCCGGTTCTTGGGTTTGCAACAGGAGCTGGGATTCTGGAATCAGTCAAACTTCGGTCGGGGTGTGATTATTGGAGTACTGGACTCGGGAATTGCTCCTGGTCATCCTTCATTCAATGACGAGGGAATGCCACCACCTCCTTCCAAGTGGAAAGGCAAATGCGAGTTCAACGGATCAGAATGCAACAACAAGCTTATTGGTGCAAGGTCTTTTGATCTTGCAGCTAAGACAAAGAACGGGATAGCAGGCTCACCTGCCGACGAAGATGGACATGGGACTCACACGTCAAGTACAGCTGCTGGTAGCTTTGTTCAAAATGCAGATGCACTTGGAAATGCAAAAGGAACTGCGGTTGGAATGGCACCTCAAGCTCATTTAGCAATGTACAAAGTGTGCCCTCTTGAACACTGTGCTGGGAGTGACATACTAGCTGGGCTTGATGCAGCTATCCATGATGGAGTCGATGTGATCTCAATCTCATTGGGTGGGGAACCTGGTACTCCAATGTACGAGGACACGATTGCAATTGGGTCCTATGCAGCAATGCAGAAGGGGATATTTGTCAGTTGTGCTGCTGGAAATTTCGGTCCTTCTAACAGTACACTATCTAACGAAGCCCCATGGTATCTCACGGTGGGGGCAAGCACATTAGATAGAAAACTTTCTGTATCAGCAAAGCTAGGAAATGGAGAAGAACTTGAGGGTGAATCCCTTTCAAGAAACTTTGGTCCAACAGTAGCATGGTCTATCTTTGATGCTGCAAGCATCAACGGCCAACCAACATCTAAATTTTGCGGAAAGGGGGCTCTGAATGGTACAGATCTAAAGGGAAAGATTGTCCTGTGTGAGAGAGGCGGTGGAGTTTCTAGAGTTAGCAAAGGCATGGAAGTGAAATCTGCCGGTGGAGCAGCCATGATTCTCGTGAATGGAGAGGCAGACGGCTTCGATACTATAGCTGATGCTCATGCCCTTCCTGCTACCCATGTCAGCTTTGATTCAGCTCAGAAGATCAGAGCTTACCTGAACTCAACAAGCACACCAATAGCTTCACTGTTGTTCAAAGGAACTGTCGCAGGGAACAAATCATCAGCACCTATTGTTGCTTCTTTCTCATCTAGAGGGCCAACACTAGAAGCAGTGGGGATTTTGAAACCTGATATTATTGGGCCTGGAGTGAACATTCTAGCTGCATGGCCATTCCCCCTGGATAAAAGTACAAACACGAAGTCAACCTTCAATGTTGAATCTGGAACATCAATGTCATGCCCTCATCTCAGTGGCATTGCAGCATTGCTCAAAAGCTCTCATCCTACTTGGTCACCAGCTGTCATAAAATCTGCCATGATGACGTCTGCTGATCTGCTTAACAGGGAAGGCAAGCAAATTGTTGATCAGAATCTTCAGCGTGCCGACTTCTTTGCCACTGGAGCGGGCCAGGTGAATCCAACTAGAGCGAATGACCCAGGTTTGGTCTACGACATCCAGTCTGATGACTATATACCTTATCTGTGTGGGCTAGGCTATACCAATGATCAAGTTGGGATCATAGCAAATAAACCCGTCAACTGTTCACAGCAGAAAACTCAATCTTCTGGGCAGTTGAACTACCCTTCGTTTTCTGTAACACTGGGAGGACCTCCACAGACTTTCTCAAGAACAGTGACAAACATTGGGGAAGCAAACTCATCGTACATTGTAACAATCCTTCATCCGACAGGAGTTGATGTGATTGTCGAGCCCTCAAATTTGACATTTGCGGAAGTGGGTCAAAAGGCGACGTATACAGTCACATTCACTCGTGTTGCAAACAGTAATGTCGCCAGTGGTTTTGCTGAAGGATTCATCAAATGGGTTTCTGATAAGCGAGTTGTCAGGAGCCCGATCTCCGTGATGTTCAAGTAAGAGACCCTAGGTCGGATTTCAACGCGGCCCCTTTACCATTAGTGGCTCTTTTTTTCAAGATTTGGAATTTCCACACGACCCCTTTGGTTGACACAGTCTGGTTCGATCCACAGTAAGAGATTATCATTTGATCCATGCAGAAAGCTACCATTTCTATCTGCTAGTGGCAATTCATTATATTTTGTATTTCTCAAGACACTCTTACTAGGCCATTGCAGAAAATTTGGAACCATAAATGTGAAGGAGCAAGTCAAAATACGAGAGAGGTTTTAATCCACATCACTGATCTTGCCACAGAAAATGGCCAGCCACACTGTGATGAAAAAAGTTAAGATCTCAAAGTCCTCAAGTTTTTGCAACAAAAAATGGAAAGTACCATGCATGTTTAATCTATCACGAATATTAAATGAATCAGAAACTTGTACCTCTCGAGGACTTAGTTGATGTACAGTCAAGAATGTTTCAGGGAAAACATATGTGATCATGATTCCTGAAGACTTGAGAAGCTCATGGAAAGAACTGGATAATCCACATCTTTCATAACTAGTAAAATCTGAAACAATCAACAGAGTAACAAATGTCATGAGCAAGCTGCAAATACATCTAGGGCTAAATGAATGGAAGAAGCCAAACACTAACCAGCAGATGCAGGCCTGCTTCTCCTATTTTGTCTTCTTTCTTTGGCTTTATTGTTCACCTCCATTTTCTTCTACAACAACAGATATCACAAAATTAGGAAAAATAATATGATTGATCGGAAGAGTGTAGAAGATTTACTAGTTAAATGAAAGTAGTTGGAGGGAAAAATGTTAAATACAACAAACCTGGCATGGCAAGAAAAGTCATAGTCACCAGGATTAAGGAATTGAATGGTCGTCATGGGGATCAATTGATTAAAACAATGCAGACGGCATAACACAAACGGATAAAAGGAACCTCCAGGAGGAACTGGTCCTGTAAATCCTACACACTCTATATATTAAATTATCATATGAAATAGATTTCAACCAAGAAAAGCTTCAAACTTCTTTCCCCTTTCCCCCCATGAAACAAATAAGCCACTCACCAACAATGGCTAGTATTTCTCTATTCTGGTTCATTATCTTGCTTAATTTGAACTCTCACATTGCTCAAGCAATCAAATCCACACCTGAAGGAAAAGCAGTAGACCAGAAAGACAACTTACAGACCTACATCGTCCACGTGAAGAAACCAGAAGCCACAACTTCGGCCGAGTCCACAGATATCAAGACTTTTTATGACTCATTTTTAGCAACTGGTATATCACGCTCCTCATAGGGGAACAAACGTCTTCTTTATGCTTACGATCATGTACTCAATGGTTTTGTTGCAAGACTTACACCAGAAGAAGTGAAGGACATGGCAAAGAAGGATGGTTTTGTGGAAGCGCAGCTTGAAAGGACTTTTCGTCTTCAGACAACAGAAACTCCCCATTACTTGGGTTTACGACAGGAGCTGGGATTCTGGAATCAGTCGAATTTTGGTCAAGGTGTAATCATTGGAGTACTTGACACAGGAATCCTCCCTGGTCATCCTTCATTCAATGACGAGAGAATGCCACCTCCTCCTTCAAGGTGGAGAGGCAAATGCGAGTTCAAAGGATCATACTGCAACAACAAACTTATTGGTGCAAGGTCATTTGATCTTGTAGCTAAGACAAAGAACGGGACAACAAGCTCACCTGTCGACGAAGATGGACATGAGACTCACACGTCAAGTATAGCTGCTGGTAGCTTTGTTCAAAATGCCGAAGCACTTGGAAATGCAAAGGGAACTGTGGTTGGAATGGCACCTCATGCTCATTTAGCAATGTACAAAGTGTGCTCTGTTGATGGCTGTGCTGGGAGTGACATACTCGCTAGCCTTGATGCAGCTATCCATGATGGAGTTGATGTGATCTCAATCTCATTAGGGGGAGACCCAGGCACTCCAATGTATGAGGACACAATTGCAATCGGGACATATGCAGCAATGCAGAAGGGGATATTCGTCAGCTCTTCTGCTGGAAATTTCGGTCCTTTCAATGGTACGGTATCTAACGAAGCCCCATGGTATCTCTCGGTGGGCGCAAGCACGGTAAATAGGAAATTTTATGTCTCCGCCAGGCTGGGAAATGGCTTAGTACTTGAAGGCGAATCCCTTTCAAGAGACTTCAATCCAACAGTAGCATGGCCTACATTGAAGCTGCCAATATCAACGGTCGGCTAAGTTCATCATTTTGTGGTGAGGGAGCTCTAAATGGTACTGATGTCAAAGGCAAAGTTGTCATGTGCATTAGAGGCGGTGGAGTAACTAGAGTTAGCTAAGGCATGGAAGTGAAATCTGCAGGTGGAGCAGCCATGATACTCATGAATGGAGTGGCGGATGGTTTCACTACTGCAGTTGACGCTCATGTCCTTCTTGCTACATATGTCAGCTTTAATGCATCACAGAAAATCAGAGCTTACTTGAACTCAACAAACAAACCAACAGCTTCCTTGTTGTTCAAAGGAACTGTCATTGGAAACTCATCAACACTTGTTGTCACTTCCTTCTCTTCAAGAGGGACGAAAATCGAAGTTGTGGGGATTCTGAAACAAGACATTATTGCGCCGAGAGTGAGCATTCTAGTTGCATGGCCATTCCCTCTGGACAAGAAAACAAACTCAAAATCAACCTTCAACGTTGTATCTGGAACTTCAATGTCATGCCCTCATCTAAGTGGTATTGCAGCCTTGCTAAAAGTTCTCATCCTTCTTGGTCGGCAGCTGCAATCAAATCTGCCATGATGACTATTGCTGATCTGCTTAACATGGAAGGCATGCCCATTATCCATCAGAATCTTCAACCAGCAGACTTATTTGCCACTAGAGAAGGCCATTTGAATCCAACGAGAGCAAATGACCCAGGTTTGGTATATGATATTCAACATGTAGACTATATACCTTATCTGTGTGGACTAGGTTATACTGACGATCAAGTCATGATCATTTCACATAAATCCATCAATTGTTCACAACAGAAAACTCAATCTTCAGGGCAGTTGAACTACCCTTCAATTTCTGTGACACTGGGAGGACATCCACAGACTTTTTCAAAGACCGTAACAAACGTCGGGGAAGCAAACTCAAGTTATGTCATAACAATCCTTCAGTCGGTGGGAGTTGATGTGATTGTCAAGCCCTCCAATTTGAAATTTTGGAAAGTGGGTCAGAAGGCAACATATACAGTCACATTCAGCCATGCCGCAAGTAATCACATACCCAGTGGATATGCTGAAGGCTTCATCAAATGGGTTTCGGATAAGCGATTTGTCAGGAGTCCCATCTCTGTATTGTTTGGGTAAAAGAAACCTACTACTAAATTAAGCAGTGGCATCAACAAGGAGTTAGTTAAGGAAATGGCCATTATAAAATAAGAAAACAAAATTCCTTAAAGAATTTATCTTTATGAAGAGATCATTATCACGACAGCTGATCAAATCTGAGCTAAAGTAAAATGGACAGACTTCAGTAAGCGGTTTGGTTTTATTTTTCGAAATTCAGAATTTCCATACAACCCATCAATGGTTCAATTAGTAAGAGATGTCATTTAATAAATCCATAATGTTACCTTTTTTATCATGTCCAACTATCAAATTTACCACACTTGCATTTCATCACAATTCATCCTTGATCCATGGCTTTCAGCGATGTAAAAACCTAATAGAAAGAAAAAAAAAGGCACTTTAGTTTCTGCCGAAAGATTCTCAAATTGTTACAACACAACATTGCTTTCTGTCCTTCTGAAGTGTCTATTAGTTTATATTTCCTTCTTCTTAAAGAAATGAAAAATAGTCACTCCAAAACTCTTTAGGAAGCAATAGTGTAGCCTCTCCATGAATGTTCCTCCAACAGGAAGCAATAGTGTAGCCTCTCCATGAATGTTCCTCCAACAGCATGGTTCCAAACCTCTTAGTTGTCGCGGAAAACCCTAAGACGTTAAGAGGCTAGAAAGTACAACAGGATTCGCTTTAACTACTTTGACATATTCACAGAGCAGAAGGATCATAGAAGAACCTGGTTTAATCTACAACATAAGTTGAATCCATGATTGTAGAACTTCCCACCACGACAAGGCTCAATTGCCTCCAGAATTCCTCCATCAACTCTACCGAAGAGACAAAAATACCCATGCATTGAACGTACCCAACTGCCTCTATTTCCCATACTAATATGTTAGTCATGAAAACAAATTGTGGACCAAAACCAGCTCTGTTAATCATGTATGTCCTCTCACTCTACTTCATTTTCTTGATCAACGTTCTTCCTCAGATTATTGCTCAAGCGACTCCCAATACAGCAAAACCGATTTGGATACTTACATTGTTCATGTCAAGCAACCAGATGGCAACTTATGGCGGGATAGAAGATCCGAAGGCTTGACAATAGACATTTTTACCCGTCGTCATCACATCAAGATCACATGATGATGATCATCATCAAATTCATCTGCTTTACTTGTACCAAGATGTGATCAACACATTTTCTACAAGGCTAAGAAAGGAAGAATTAGCAAACCACGGAACTTAAAGAAGGATGCCAACACGTCCTGAGAGGACATTTTATCTCCAGACAACCCACAGCTCTCGTTTCTTGGGTCTGGACTAGAAACCAGGGCTATGGAACCGAAACAACTATGGAAGTGGGGTTATAATTGGAATGTTGGACACTGGAATTTCTCAAACTCACTTTCATTCACTAGCAAAGGAATGCCGACACCTCCATCCAAATGGAAAGGGAGGTGCGAGTTCAATTGATCACACTGCAACAACAAACTGATTGGTGCAAGAACTTTCAACCTTGGAGCTAAGGCTAGGAAAAAAGGAGGCAAACCTGGAATGCTTATTGATCGAGATGGACATGGCACGCACACATCAAGCACGGTAGCTGGTGGCTTTGTGAGCAATGCTAATGTATCTATGGGAAAGGATTGTTGATAGCTATGAATGTGAAGGTCAAAGTAGTTCTATCTTCTGTGTGATAGAGGTTTGGTAGATAGGCTTGATATAGGCAAGGAAGTGAAAAATGAAGGCGGTGCAACATTGATACTTGCAAATGGAGTATAGGATGGGTTCAGTACCTTAGTTGATCCTTATGTTCGTCCTACGACACTTGTCAGCTATGCAGCATGGCAAGAGATTAAAGCTTAAATAAAGTCGAACAAGCAACCAAGAATAACGATTTTATTCAAAGGAACTATCTCTGAAAATACTACAGCCCCATCTGTGACTTCTTTCTCATCAAGAAGGCCAACAATGGTATGCCAAGGAATTCTCAAACCGGATATTTTGGGGCCAGGAGTAAGCATCCTAGCAGTATGGCCATCCAGTAGGAAGAAGAAGATGACGAAGAAACCAAGATTCAATATGGAGTCTGGCACATCCATGTCATGCCCTCATCTGAGTAGGATTGCAGCATTGCTCAAGCACTCTTATCCAACCTAGTTACCTGCTTCCATTAACTCTGCTATCATGACTACAATCGATATCCAAACCAGAAGAGGCACCTCAATTATTTATCAAGATGATCAACTTGGTGACCTCTTTGCCCTTGGAGCTGGCCATGTGAACCCATTGAAGGCAGATGAGCCTGGTCTGATCTATGACATCCACTCTGCAGATTATATTGGGTATATGTGTAGCTTAGGGTACAGTAACAAACAAGTTTGGATTATCACAAGGATGTCAATCAAATGCAAAACAAAGAGAAAGATACCAGGAGGACAGGTCAACCACCCTTCATTTTGGTCACGCTGGGGCGCTCACGGACATTGATAAGAGCAGTTAAAAATGGTCAGGCAAATTCAACCTATTATTCAAAGATCACTCCTCCGGGGGGTCCATGTAGCCATGAAGCCTCCCAAGTTACACTTCACAAAGGTGGGCCAGAATGTGAAATACGCTTCGACATTTATTCGTACCAACAAACCCATATTACACCACCAGTTTGCTCAAGGATATATGTTATGGGTTTCTCCTAATCACAACATCACAAGTCCCATTGTGCAGTTCGACTGAAAAAGTGATACAACAAACCGAGAATAGCACACTGCAAGCAAGCAGTCAACTATTTCTGGGTGAAAGTTGGAACAGTTATCAGGAAGTTCTAAAACTCTTGTAAAGAACGATTCTTTGTGTTTTTATGACTTTTCATGGTTATTAATAACAATATAGAGAAGTTGTAACTAAGCTCTTTATCAAAGGGCGTCAAATCTCTGATAATATCATGATCAGTCATGAAATGGTTCATCATCTCAAAACTTCAAAATCCAAGAAAAAAGGTGGATGGCAGTGAAACTGGATATGGAGAAAGCATACGATCAAATAGAATGGCCTTTCTTGTTCGAAATGATGAGGATTCTTGGTATACATCCTAGATTCATCTCTTGGGTAAAAGAGTGCGTCACTACAGTGTCATATTCGATTCTCATTAACGGCTCCCAATCAGAGTACTTTAGACCTTCAAGAGGACTAAGACAAGGAGATCCTCTATCGTCTCTCCTTTTCGCCATCTGTGCCGAAGGATTTTCTAGTATGATAAGGAAAGCTACCTCCGTAGGGTACCTTGAAGGAGTCAGAATCCGCCCTAGTTGTCCGGTAATTTCCCATCTATTTTTCGTGGATGACTCATACCTATTCAGATCCGCCTCGCCGGAGTATTGTACGTCTCTCCTTTCCCTACTTCAGGCTTACGAGGAGCTGAGCGGTCAACGAATAAACTTAAATAAATCAGTCATCCTTTTCAGTCACAATACAGACCCTTCCCAAGCTCAAATTATGGGTGCTCAATTGGGTGTTGGAACCATAGGAGAATATGACTCTTATTTAGGCCTACCAGTCATCTTAAATAAAAAGGAGAGACATTCGAGTTCATGGAGGATAAACTTATTAAGAAGTTACAAGGGTGGAAACAACAATCACTTTCGAAAGCCGGGAAAGACATTCTTATTAGAACATCGACTACTAATATACCAGTACTAGGAATGTCATGCTTCAAGCTCCCCAAGGAAAACTGTAGACGCTTAAACAGTCATATTGCAAAGTTTTGGTGGGGTACGACACAAAATTCAGACCACCCAATCCACTGGTTGTCTTGGAAAAGCCTAGCTCACAGCAAGTTCCATGGAGGTCTTGGATTCAGGGACTTTGAAGCCTTCAATCAAGCGTTGGTAGCTAAACAATGTTGGAGAATATGGACCAATCCAAATTCACTACTCTCCCAAATATATAAGGGTCGATACTTTACCCAATGTTCGGTGTTGGAAGCATCAATTGGTTCAAACCCTTCGTGGGGGTGGAGAAGTCTACTTTTTGGAAGAGATCTGCTCCTACAGGGACTAAGATGGCAAATAGGCGGGCAAAGAACCCGGGCGTTCATTGATAACTGGGTTCTGGGGGATAAACCCTTAATCCCGAGTACTCGACCCCATATTCAAAATGGATCACCTATGGTATCTTATTTCATAAAAGAAGGTCGAGGGGAATGGGACGTTCCAAAACTCGAGAATTGTTTTGAACCTCAGTCTGTTGATCTCATAAGGAGAATTCCTCTTCCTCGATACTCACAGCAGGACATTAGAGTGTGGCACTATTCCAAAGATGGAAAATACACAGTCAAATCGGGTTATCACTTAGCTCTGGAAATAACATTGGCACCAAGTCAAAAACCGATAGTGCATATCATCGACCCTCCCATTTGGAAAAAGACTTGGAACATCCAAGTTCCGCCTAAACTCAAGTTCTTCATATGGCAATGCCTCAAAGTCATACTTCCAACAGTAGTGCCCTTCAATCTCGTGGAGTAAACTGCCTTAAACGATGCCCTGTCTGCAGGAGACATCGAGAAAGTATTGAACATTTATTCTTCAGATGCCCCCTAGCCATCAGATTGTGGACTTTAGTGGGATTGAGAAACTTTATTGAGACCGCCCAGACTGTTAACTTTAGTCTAGAGTGGCGACATGTCATGGTCTCTGAGACCTCCCCATTCCACATTCTGCAATGCGTTTGTTTACTTTGGAGAATCTGGAGGTCTAGAAATGAAGTGACCTTTGAATTTATCCAACCTCATGTCCGTTCCCTAGCCAGACAGTTCTACAACCAGGTCCTCGAAATCTCCAGTCTTCTCCCCCCCCCCCCCCTTCCCGTAGCTCTCTACTCCCAAACATTCCTGCCACCACTTGGGTCCCTCCTCCAGAAGGTTTTTTGAAGATCAACGTCAACGCAGCTGTCAGTGCCTCCGGGTCTTCGTCTGGGCTTGTTATCCGTGGGTCAGACGGGCATGTGTTGTTGGCGTTCGGGTTGCAGCATCAAGGAATAGTCAACCCTTATCTGACTGAGCTTCTAGCTTTCAGGGATGCTATCTCCTTTGTGGCCTCAAGATCCTTGACCCATGTGATAGTCGAAGGTGATTTCGAAGTGGTCGTCAACCAAGTCCGTCAAGACGTCTTAGAAGACTCGATTGGTGGTCTGGTGTTACGGGAGTGTCTTCAGATCCTTAGCTCTTTGTCTGTTGGTATAGAGTTTAGGACGGTACCTAGATCCGCCAACAATGCTGCCCATAAAGTGGCACGTAAAGCACTGCTTTTGTCTCTTGTAGAGCTAGAATCTTTTGATTTCTTGGGGGTGGCTTCTTTAGAGTCTCTTAGAGGTCCTGGGTAGAATTGTAAGTTTAACTATTATTTCTCATTGATATCACTCAGAAATAATAAAAAAACTAAGCTCTTTAGAAGTTATGATGAGATAGAATCCATCCTCTCGAGAGCTAAGATTATGTTTACAATTTGCATGTGGAAATAAACGGTTTCAATCAAATACACAAAAGAATGATTGCTAATATCATGGAACTTAGAATTAGAATATTACATCAATAACATGTCGTACTTTCTATTCTTTTCTTGCATGTGGAAATAAACGGTTTCAATCAAATACACAAAAGAATGATTGCTAATATCATGGAACTTAGAATCAGAATATTACATCAATAACATGTCGTACTATCTATTCTTTTCTTGCATGTGGAAATAAACGGTTTCAATCAAATACACAAGAAGGATTGCTAATATCATGAAACTTAGAATTAGAATATTACATCAATAACATGCCGTACTATCTATTCTTTTCTTGCATGTTTTACTAGTTTGGTACCCGGCCCGTTGGCCGGATGCATTTTATCAACAGTATTAATATTAGTATAGTTAATTATAAACATATAATTTAAAGTTTTCAGACACTTTAATTGGTTTATCAAATTACGATTCGATTTATTTCTCATTGTAAAAATTATATCAATTTTTTAAAAAAGGTATTTTGTGATGCTCCGTCATATCAACATCATCTCCACCAATAACAATGCCTTCATTTCCATTCATGAAACCAAGATCTTCACCATCAACAGTCGAGATCCACTACCTCCACCATTACTACAATCTTTCTTCTTCTCCTGTATTTCATTGAAGGTAAAAGTTTACTTGTAAAATACTTGTGAATTCGAAACATCATTCCATGCAAATCGAGTTTACTTGCCCAAATCATGAGCATTGTCCGATATTTGTTCTTTTATCTCAATCATTGAAACCTCTATCTCTACCATGAATACTCTCTTCCTAATTCTTAACAATATTGTTACCTCCACCATCAAATCCATTACTGCCACCATTTTCCAAACAACATTTGTCAAATAATTTTTTAAAATTTTCTTGACCAATAATTCTTATCTTCTATGTACATTTATCAATTTTCAATTTGCAATGTTTTTCAAGACATGATATTCAAATTACATGTGTTGAGCATTTTGTATATTAATGCGCACATTGTTTTCTAAAATTAAAAAAACTATAAATATATTGAATTGGATCTTATTATCTTAAAGAACTTAAAAAGGGTCATGAGAATAAAATGATAATTATTTTTAAATATTATTGTTATCAACAACAAAAAAACAAAAGAAAACGAAGTAGGACAGAGTTGGAACAATGGTCCTTACAAAAACCCAACCAAATTCTTTATTCTAACCGTTAATGATGGGGTGAATTGCAAGTTTGTTCACTCATATTATTTATTTGTAATACGTTAGCCACCTAAAGGAGACAATAATAAGGAAAACACAACGTTTGTAAGGTTGTAATTGTAATATTTATAAGAATAATGTTTGTAGGGTTGTAATTATCATATTTATAACAATAATGTTTTTCCCGCATCCTTCCTGGAAACGAGAAAATTTCTTCTCTCATGTGGAATCATATATGGACTCGCGAGTAGGGATGGCAACAAAACCCGAACCCACGGGTAACCACCCGACCCAACCCGGTCAACGCAGGTAATATCCGTGTTGACGGGTTTTGGGCCGGGTTTGGGTTTAAACCCGTTCATTATTCATCGGGTTGGGTTTGGGTTTAGGTAAACCTGACCCATGAGTACCTGCCCACACCCATATAATTAATTTTCCCGGTATATTTAAATTCTAAACAACTAATCTTATTTATGTTTGTGGAGACATGTCTAATTTTTTTCTTTCTAATTGTGTAGAATGAAGTTAATGTTATCGAGTGGAGAGTGAAGAAACTTAATTGAAAAGAAGAAGCTTTCAATTAATCATGTTATTTATGGATAATTTGTGATTTGCTTCAATTTTCTTGAGTTTTCTAGATTGGTGTTGAACAATTTGTATAGTTATTTTTTTTTATTTGCTTGAATTTTCTAGAATGGTGTTTTACATATGGATAATTTGTATTGAGAGATTGATATTTGACTTTAATTTTGATAGAAACTTGTTATTGTAAATTTTTTACGACAAAACCCGTGGGTACCATTAGCGGTGGCAGAACGGTTTCCGGTTAGCAGTTAACCGGTCGGTTATGACCGAACCGACAGGTTTTCGGCTAATCGAAAACCGCCCCCATCTTTCCACGGTCGGTCGTCTGAGGAAAGGGGAAGAGGGTCGGCTACCCGAGAAACCGACAACGAAAACCGTCGGTTAACCGGAAAACCGACCCCCTTCCCCTTTCCTCTGAAACGACGACACACCCCCTTCCCCTTTCCTCCGAAACGATCCCAAATCATATAAACGACCAAATCCCTAACCTTCTGCCCTATCTATCCCTCTCGTCTCCCCAAGCCGTCACTTGCAGCCAGCCCCAGCAACCACCACCCCTCCCCGACGTCCCATCTCCCCTCCCCGACGACCCCGCCTTCCTCCCTCTGTCGGTCGCGAGCTAGCCGACAACAGCGACAGGGAGCGGCGGCGTCAGATCCAGAATCAGATGGGGGAAGAAGAGGAATCGACGACGAAGCCCCCAGCCAACCACCACCCCTCCCCGACGTCCCATCTCCCTTCTCCGACGACCCCGCCTCTCTCCGTCAGCCGCGAGCCAGCCGACAGCAGCGACAGGGAGCAGTGGCGGTAGATCCACTCCTCTGCCTTCTCCGGTTCTCCCTGCCCCGCCTTGTCCTTCTCCCGCGCCGGCGCTAGGTTTCCCGGTGACCCCGCCCCCTGCAGATTTGTTCATTCATGGAGAAAGGAGAAAGAAGGAGACGTGGTTTGGTGGGTGTGAATTGTGAAATGGTGGAGGAAGGAGAGAGAAGAGAAGTGGTATGGTGGGTTGGTGGAGGAAGGAAGGAGAGAGGAGGAGATAAGGATTGAGAGGTAGAAATTTTTTGTTTTTTTTTCATTAATTTTTTAGGGTTTATTTTTTAGAGAAAATAGGTTTTTCCCCACGGTTGGTGGTCGGCAACTACTGGGGGTGGCTCGGTTTAACCGATAACCGAGTTTTTGGTTTTCAGTTAAACGAAAACCGACCGGCTGCCACCCCTAGGTACCATGAACTCGCGGATACCCAGCGGGTTGGGTTGAGTTTGAGTTTTTCAAACCCAGTGAGGTTTACCCCGGATTTTTTTCACGGATAAACCCATGGATTTGGGTTTGGGTTTGACCAAACCCGGCCCAACCCGACCCATTGTCATCCCTACTCGCGAGAGTTTACAAAATTTAGAAGCTGGGCCCACAAACTAAAGCCCCCTCTCTCTTTTTTTTTTACTTTCCATGGCACAAATGAACTAAAAGCTTCCTCTATTCTCCCTTGTTTGCTTTCCCTGGTCCCAGTGATGGTAATGGGGCGGGGCGGGTACCTCAATTCCCATGTCCCGCCCCACGCTACTACAGGGCGGGGCGGGTAAAACCCGTGCGGGTACGGGGCGGGGCGGGTCGACCCACTCTTACTTGTTATTCGGAAAAAATACAAATAAATTTTACTTTTTACGATAAAACGAAGAGAAAAACATTTTAAGAATGAAAAATAGTGATAATAGAATGGGTAATTGAGTCTAACAAGTTGAAAGAGCGACTCTAACTAGTTGAAGAAAAGTCAAAATAGGATAAATATGTATAGAAATTGTAAGAAATTGAGATAAAATGAGTCTAGAATGGGGCGAGACGGGGCAGAGCAGGTCGGAAGTAGATACCCATGCCCCGCCCCACGCTACTACGTGTCGGGTAATACCCGCCCCATCGCGGGTCAGGTCGGGTAATACCCACGGGGCGGGTTGAAATTGCCATCACTACTTGGTCCATATCAATTAACATACCTGTTTTTACCTAACTGTCTTTCCGTCCTTTGCGCAGGAGCCAGAGAAATTGCAATGGAAGGGGTTCTGATGCGGAACCTCATAAAGATATGTTTAGAGATTTTTTTATATTTTTTGCATTATATTGGAGAAATTGCAATGGAAGGGGTTCTTATTGCAATAGAACATTTTTGCTCGTTACAAGTCACAATATAGGCAATAATAATATAATTAATTAAAAGCCCAACCAATCTACACTGATGCATACGAAAAAGTAGGGCGGCAATTAAGTTTTGTTCCAGATTTACTGTTCACCAGGGGAGCTATCCCATGAGCACTTCTATTATGCTATATAGCATTGGTGCTTTAATGTACAACTCAAAGTTGTACCATAACATTAAATGTATAAGTTTAGGTTGTACCATAAAGCAATTTGTACCATTATGTTATGGTACAACTTTACATTTTGAAATTGTACCATCACATAAAGGTACAAGTTCAAGTTGTACCATAAAAGAATTTGTACAAAAAGTATAGGTACAATCTGTAGTTGTACCATAACGTAAATGTACAATTTTAAATTGTACCACAAAAGCAAAAACCTATAGCACCAATACTATATAGCATTGTAAAATTTCTCGCTATCCCATACATCAAATTGTTTGCAAGTTTTTTTTTTTTTTTGAAACGGTAAGCTTTTTGTTATTGCTTCCTAACTTGATTTTATTTATTTTATTTTATTTTATTATTAGACCACACATTATGAAAAATTTAAGTAGTACTATTATAAATTTTACAATCTCATCAATATTTATTACACAAAGGTTTGTATATTAGTCAACTTTACATAATAGTAACCAATGACGCTTTTCATAACTTGATGTTATTATTAGACCAAAATTGCAAATGATTTACGTAATATTGTTCTATGCTATTTTATTGCTTCCTAACTTGATTTTATTATTTTATTTTATTATTAGATCACACATTATGAAAGATTTATGTAACATTATTATAAATTTCACAATCTCATCGATTTTTACTACACAAAGGTTCCGTATATTAGTCAATTATCAATTAATTAAAAGCCCAACTAACCTACACTGTTGCATACGAAAAAGTAGGGCGGCAATTAAGTTTTGTTCCAGATTTACTGTTCACCAGGGGAGCTATCTCATACATCAAATTGTTTGCAAGTTTTTTTTGAAACAGTTAGCTTTTTGTTATTGCTTCCTAACTTGATTTTATTTTATTATTAGACCACACATTATAAAAAATTTAAGTAGTACTATTATAATTTTACAATCTCATCAATATTTATTACACAAAGGTTTGTATATTAGTCAACTTTACATAATAGTAACCAATGACGCTTTTCATAACTTGATGATATTATTAGACCAAAATTGCAAATGATTTATGTAATATTGTTCTATGCTATTTTATTGCTTCCTAAATTGATTTTATTATTTTATTTTATTATTAGATCACACATTATGAAAGATTTATGTGACACTATTATTAATTTCACAATCTCATCCATTTTTACTACACAAAGGTTCCGTATATTAGTCAATTATCAATTAATTAAAAGCCCAACTAACCTACACTGTTGCATACGAAAAAGTAGGGCGGCAATCAACTTTACAAAGGTTGAGGCTTTTCATAACTTGATTTTATTATTAGACCAAAATTGCAAAGGATTTATGTACCATTGTTCTATCTTAAGTTATCAATCCATGATGTAAAAATTAATAGAGGTATAGTTATTTCTACAAGGGATAATTATTTATTATGTATCAATTAAAAAAGAATTATATTCGTCCTCCATAATATAAATGTAAAAATTTCATTTACTATCAATTAAGCGGTTGACTAACTCATAAATTTGTATTATACAAAGGTTCTCTAAGGTAAGTTATTCTTACTAACATTCGTCCTCCATGATATAATTGTGAAAATTTCATTTACTATCAATTAAGCGGTTGACTAACTCATAAATTTGTATTATACAAAAGTTCCCTAAGGTATGTTATTCCCTTTATCGTTAACTAAAACATTCACTATGTCATCAATTTTCCTTAGGGAGATATTTCGTAAGTTCAATTAACTTTTATATAGCAATATAATCAAATGTAATACTTCTATAACTTGATTTTATTATCAGACCACACATAGCGAAAGATTAACGATTAGAAATTACAAATACATTACATGGGGATGGTTATTTCTTATGTTTTCAATTAAACAAATGTATAGCATAATTCTTCCCTAATTATTTTACCGCTACGGAGTGCGGGTCAGAAAACTAGTAGAACATTTTATGAGGCAATCACGTAAGAAGACAAGCCTGCCAAAATTCCAAGCAGAGGAAACGGAAGTTTAAGAGGGGAAGCAGATTGTTATAAACGCGCTGCTACGGATCGGAAAATCGCAGGAATCGACAAAGCAAGAATACGAAAGCGAGAATCGAAAACACGACACACGATTTACGTGGTTCACTAACACGATGTGTGTTAGCTACGTCCACGGGCGAGAGAGAGCCAGTTTCACTATATCAAGGAGATTACAGATTACAGAGGAGTATGAGAAGTATTTATAGTACTTCTCCATGTGGGTCTAAACCTAATCCAATATGGCAAAGGAAATGGTTACAGACCAGGCCCAGAACCCGAACCCCCCGATTACCAGTCGTAGCGGCTGATAATCCGATTCAAGTCATATCAACAAATCTCCACCTTGACTTGAATCCTCTTCCTCTGAAATCTCTGATGTACTCTGATCCTTCTATCTCTCTCTCCCGCCATCAATGCCCCGCAGGGCGAAGTCACCCACTCAAGACATTCAGCAAGTCCAAGCAGTGTTGGAACTTGCCATGTGGAACCGGCTTCGTGAACATATCAGCAGGATTATCCGCGGTGCCAACCTTCTTCACCTTAATCCTCTTCTCTGTCCTCAAGAAATGATACCTCACATCGATGTGCTTAGTCCTCTCATGGTGGACTTGATCCTTGGCCAAGCATATTGCACTCAAACTGTCGCAATATACCACTGTCTGATCATGATGTAGACCAAGATCACCAACCAGTCCCTTCAACCATATTCCCTCCTTAGCAGCTTCTGTCAACGCCATATACTCTGCCTCAGTAGTAGACAATGTCACCGCCGACTGCAAAGTTGCCTTCCAGCTCATTACAGAACTCCCAAGAGTGAATACATAACCGGTCATCGATCTCCTCGTGTCAACATCTCCAGCATAGTCTGAGTCAGAATACCCAGACACCAAGCACTCTATATCACTTCCGAAGCTAATCCCCACATCAGGTGTACCCTTAAGGTACCGGAAGATCCTCTTCACAACCTGTCAATGCTCCTTCCCAGGTTGTATCATAAACCTGCTGACAACACTAACAGCATGTGCAAGATCAGGTCTAGTGCATACCATAGCGTACATCAAGCTACCTACTGCACTAGCATATGGGACTCTCGACATGTACTCCTTCTCAGCCTCCGACTGTGGTGCATAAGCTGAGGATAGATGAACATTTGAAGCACTAGGAGTATTTAAGGGCTTTGCTGAAGACATGCCAAACCTCGACAGTATCTTCTGGATGTAGCTCTTCTGTGACAAGAAAAGCTTCTTCTTCGACATGTCCCTGTAAATCTCCATACCCAAGATCTTCTGAGCAGCTCCCAAATCCTTCATCTCAAACTCAACACTGAGAAGCCCCTTTAACTTCTGGATATCAGACTTCGACCTCGCAGCTATGAGCATATCATCCACATACAGAACAAGATAGATCATCGAATCATCCTCCACCTTGTTGTGATACACATGACTCACTTCTACTGTCACTCCAGGAATTGGCCAAGTGAAACCACTTCCTAAAGCGTAGTATAGCGGGTTTGGGTTTAAATGTCAACCCGGGTTCTAGATTTGATGACTACTCAGTGAATTCTTGTTATCTAGCAATGAAACTTTAATGCAAGTCTAAACTAACAAACTAACAAAGCAAGTAAACAGTTGTATTCAGGTTAAGAGAGGTCACCCGGATATGGTTCCCCCTAGACTGCAGTTAAGCCGGATTGCAATTACCAAGTTCAGTTTCTATGATAGTTATACTGCGGAAAAATCTTAAACAGCCTGAAGTCTCGACTAAAGGTCTTCAGACCCTCTCAATCTGAGTCTCTAGCGGGCGACTAACCTCCACCAGAGTAAACAGATTGAGGCCCTAACGAACAAAACCTCCACTACCGAAGTGAGTTCGGTACAGAATAGTGAGTTGGCTCCTCGACTAAAGTCACCAACTCCCTACCTTCAATCAAGGATGCTCTATCAACCTAGGCAAATATTCTCATTCTAGGTTAAAGCAGAAACAACAGGAATTTGATCAGGATTCATGCCATTCAATCATTCAAACCTCAATTGAATATAATCAAATCATAGAATCAGTACTTGGGTTCATACAATCAAACCTAACATACAAATCTAGGGTTTCCCATACCCAGATGAATGAGAGAACTACTCCATGGAGAAAGAAGCAAAAGCAGAATCAGACGCGGAATTCATACTGTGAAGGATGGATTCCTGCTCCTGGACGTTGATCGGCACTTCTCCAAGCTCAAACTGGCCTCCAATGGTGATGAAGATCAAGCTAGGGCACTTGGAGACTCTTGTTCGTCGCTTTCTCTCTCTAGGAATCGCTCTATCTCTCTCAAAACTCGAATCCCCTTCTGTTTTGGCTGAAATCTGCTTAAAAGGACATCACTGGGCAAAACACGGTCGAGGGCACGGCCGTGCTTTGCTCCAGCCCGCCCGTGCTTTGGCTAGGTTTAATTACACGGCCAGCCTGTTGGGAGAAACATGGCCGTGCTTTTGGGTGGACACGGCCGTGCTTTGGTGGACACAGCCGTGTAATTTCTCAGCCCTGCCCGTGTAATCAGCTCGTGTTTGCCAAACTCGAATTTGCTCTCGGCAGTAAAAGCACGGCCTAGGAACACGGCCGTGTTCTGCTTTAGGTGTGCCCGTGTTTTGGCTCCAGCTCCACCGAAAGACTTCCGAATGCCCCGAAACTCGTGCTTAGCCTTTCCTTTGACGCCTGGGACCTGAAATATGACAAAATAGCACAACCCGGCGTAAAATAGGCAAAAAATACACGACTATGCCCCTCAAACAGATAAGAACTAGGGGTGCAAATACGTGCAATTACATCGTTATCAACACACAACAATCATATGGACTTCTGATGTAGCCCAGCTCAAGCATGTAACTGTCAAATCTCTTGTACCACTGCCTCGGAGACTGCTTAAGTCCATACAAGGACTTCTTCAGCTTACAAACATAGTCTTCTTTTCCCGGAACCTCGAATCCTTCTGGCTGAGTCATGTAAATTTCTTCCTCCAACTCTCCATGTAGGAAAGCTGTCTTCACTTCTAGCTGCTCGAGCTCCAAGTCATAATTTGCCACTATTGCTAGTAGCACTCTGATCGAAGTATGTCTGACCACTGGTGAGAAAATCTCATTGTAGTCAACTCCTTCCCTCTGCGAGAAGCCTCGTGCAACCACCCGAGCTTTAAATTTCATGCCCTCTTTAGAAGTGATTCCTTCCTTCTTCTTGTAGATCCACTTGTTTGTAACAATCTTCCTTCCCTGTGGCCGTTTGACTAGCTCCCAAGTCCGATTCCTGTCATGGGATTCCATCTCATCTCCCATTGCGGCAAGCCACTGATCAGCTTCACCACCCGAAACTGCTTCTCTATAGGACTGTGGCTCTCCTGCATCCACTTCTTCAGCAACCTGAAATGAATACGCCACCATGTCCTCGAAGCCATACCTCTGTGGAGGTACTCCTGCAGTCGCTCTCTTCGGTCTACTGGAAGCAATAGACTGTTGAGCTCGTGCACTGGACTCTGAAATTTCTGGCTCTGCAGAGACATCCTCATCATGTTGATCTTCTCCACCTTGGTGCTCAAACTCACTCTCATTGAGAGTTTGCAGCTCCACCTGCTTATCAACATTCCTGCTACCTTCAACAACAGTAACCTTCAACATGGGGTTAAACATAGACTTCTCATCAAATATCACATTTCTACTGAGTATAACTCGATGCTCAGAAGGTGACCAGCCTCGAAATCCCTTAACTCCATCTCCGTAACCCACAAATACACCCTTCTTTGCCCTTGGGTTCAGTTTACCCTCATCCACATGATAATAAACAGGACACCCAAAAACTTTCAGTGAAGAGTAATCAGCAGGCTTACCATACCACACCTCATAAGGAGTCTTCAACTCGATACCTGTGTGAGGTCCACGGTTGATCAGGAAGCACGCCATGTTCACTGCTTCTGCCCAGAATCTTCTCTCTAGTCCGGCATTAGAGAGAATGCACCGTGCTCTCTCCAACAATGTCTGGTTCATCCTTTCTGCAACGCCATTCTGCTGGGGTGTATCTCTCACAGTCCGATGACGGGCAATCCCTTCATCCTTGCAGAAATCGTTGAACTCAGAATTACAGAACTCTAGACCATTGTCCGTTCGCAGCTTCTTGATCTTCTTCCCGGTCTGATTCTCCACCAATGTCTTCCACTGCTTGAACTTCGTGAAAGCCTCACTTTTCTGCTTCATCATGAAAATCCAAGTAAATCTCGAATAATCATCAATAATAGACAGAAAATATCTGCTGCCTCCAATGGATTCAACTCGTGAAGGACCCCAATAGTCGGAGTGGAGGTAATCCAGTATCCCCTTCGTCCGGTGGATACCCTTCTTGGGAAACTTGCTGCGATGTAGCTTCCCAAACACACAATGCTCGCAGAATTCCAAATTCTGCATCCTGTGCCTGCAAAGAAGATCCCTCTTCGACAGAACTTGCATCCCCCGTTCACTCATATGCCCCAGTCTCATGTGCCAGAGAGTGGTCATATCTTCCTGATGAACCTGAGACGATGCAACGGCAGCAGAACCAGACAACACACACCCTTGTAATGCATACAAGGTCCCACGCTTCACGCCCTTCAGCACCATCCTTGAACCTTTGCAGACATACACAACTCCACCTTTTCCTTTGAAACTGAAACCCTTGCTGTCGAGTAGACTCAAGGAGATCAGGTTCTTTGTCATTCGTGGAACATACCTGACATCATTCACGGTACAGAACGAACCATCATGTGTCCGAACCTTTATGGACCCGATTCCAACAACCTTGCAGACAGCTCCATTTGCCATGACCACGTTACCACCATCTATCTGCTTGTAGGTTGTGAAGCAATCCCTGTTCGGAGACATATGGTATGAGGCTGCAGTATCCAGAAACCACACATCCCCACGATGTGCCTTCTCATCTACAGCCAAGGCGAGATCGTCTTCAGAACTGTTGTCCACTTCTGCCACGGCAACTGAACCTTGTTTCTTCTGTTGCCCTATTCTCTTGGGACAGTTGTACTTCCAATGCCCCACTTCCTTACAGTTGTGACAAGCATCACCTGGCTGGAGGATGTCTTTCCCTTTCCACCTGTAACAGCCAAACCCGATGCCTCACCACCTATACCAGATCCAGACGCCTTATGCCTGATCTCTCTCGTATGAAGAGCAGACTTGACATCCTCCAACGACACGCTTTCTTTACCAGCAATAAAAGAATCAACGAAATTCTCATATGAACTCGGCAGAGAAACCAGCAGGATTAGGGCAGCATCCTCGTCATCAACTTGAACATCTATATTACGCAGATCCAGCAAAATAGAGTTAAGCTGTTCGAGATGTTCCCTCAAAAGCGTACCTTCTTGCATCCTCAAGCTGAACAACCGTTGCTTGAGATGCAGCTTGTTGGTTAAGGACTTCGTCATATACAGACTCTCCAACTTTAACCACAAGCCCGCGGCAGTCTTCTCAGCAGCGACTTCAATGATGACGTCATCAGACAACGATAGCATGATGGTCGAGTGGGCCTTCTCCTCCAGGGTGTTCCACTCATCGTCATCGACCGCTGCTTTCTTCTGTTTCGCAGACAACGGCCCCCACAGCCCTTGCTGTTTTAATAAAGCCTGCATCTTGATCTGCCATATAGCGAAGCTGTTCTTCCCCGTGAACTTTTCGATCTTCATGTTCACCGACGTCATTCTTCTGAATCGAAAAACCTAGCCTGATTTCCAGCCGCGGCTCTGATACCACTTGTTATAAACGCGCTGCTACGGATCGGGAAATCGCAGGATTCGACAAAGCAAGAATACGAAAACGAGAATCGAAAACACGACACACGATTTACGTGGTTCACTAACACGATGTGTGTTAGCTACGTCCACGGGCGAGAGAGAGCCAGTTTCACTATATCAAGGAGATTACAGATTACAGAGGAGTATGAGAAGTATTTATAGTACTTCTCCATGTGGGTCTAAACCTAATCCAATCTGGCAAAGGAAACGGTTACAGACCAGGCCCAGAACCCGAACCCCCCGATTACCAGTCGTAGCGGCTGATAATCCGATTCAAGTCATATCAACACAGATACTATATATCAACCTTCCTTAGGCAATTCACCAGCCTTCCTTCATAGAGTAATCTGAGATCAAAGGAGCCGAACTCACAAGTGATCACAGTATGTCTGACTTAAAGCTATTGTGAGTTGTAACAACATGGTAGCAACAAATATTCAGGTGTGTGTTTCACAAAAATAATTATATATACAATTTTCTTTTAATAGATTATGCTCTTTGAAATAACATCCCCCAACAGACAATAATATTGCATGTGACTGCAACATGGAATTTCAAATTTCAGAAGAGGACTCGATTCATGTTTTGCTAAATAGATCTCATATATACTTCAATCTCTTACCTTGAATATAACAAACAAATTAGCATACTAGTCTGATCAACTTTATCCAAGTTCACAAGACCAGGATTAATTAGGATTAGAGATCAGTACCAATATAGCTCATAAAAAGCATCTACCAAAATCATCTGAATAACATGATCTTCAATGCCGAATCAGCAGCCAATCATTCTGCATATCAATACCACCAACTATTCCGGTTGAGCGTCTTCAGAGTAGTTTCAAATAAACCAGATCGACTCATCAACTTGTGAGAACCAAATTTGGATGCATTCTTGTTTTCAGGCTCCGTCAATTTATCATACACAGATTGTACTGTCTCAGTGATTTCATTGCTCATATCATCTGATTTGATTATTCCCCACAGGCTATCGGACACCTTGGTCATCATGCATTCCTAGCAATCACAAACAAAAAGTGGACATCAGTGGCAACTCTGATTTGATTAATGAACTCTGCAATAAGACCTACATTACATACAAGAATAATTGAGGAACCAACCAACTGAAATTAATAGCAACTTTGAACACTAAAGTAACCAGGTGACAAAAGCCCCCATACGGGAAGTTATCCTTAGATATAGCAGACTTGTAATCCCTGAGTAGCTGCATTTAAAATTTTTAAGTTTTCCATTCAGAGATGTAATGAAGACTTAACCCAACCTCATCAAAAATATGTCTTGGCTTCATATTTACACCGCTATCACGCTCTAGAGCAGCTGACTGTCGCATGATGGCGATAATGCCGCTTCGGAATTCTTCCTGCCAATAAAGCTCTTCATCAGGAAAAAGTGTTGCTGGTGTAGTAAAATTCACACATACAAGAACCACGTGAGTTGTTATTCTCTTGTGTTCTCTCTTTTGAGCAAAATGTTGATCTTATTGTTGTAGAATTTGATCTCATGATACTTGATAGCCCTGTTATGAAAGTTACAGACTTTTCCTATGTAGCACCGTTCTACAAGCACCACGGCAAATCTCCCCAAAAGAAGTCCTCGAAACCTAAGCACTTCGAGCAGTTGATGCACCTAGTCATAGAATGCAACATGCAATAAATCTTGCGACATTGAAAGAACTCTACTGAAGGAAATAAGGAACATTCCCCCCAGTCATGATCAGTGACTCCATAGACAAAACATTTCCCCTCTCTCTACTTCAAAAAAGGAAAGCCAGCACCCCTCATTTGAGCTTCAAAAAAACCCTTAGCATCTTGTTGTTTTTTCTTTTAATACAAGAAATGTCTTCAACGAGCGAAACCCCACATATCAAATCCAAGGCTAAGTTCCGACAATGCAAATAGAAGGATAATCCGACTATTCAGCCACATATCGAAATTTTCAAATCGCATGCTCAATTGTCAAATCAAATCGAAGGAACAAGGAAGAAACAGAGACGGGAAAACGGAAAACCACACAAGAAAAAGAGAAAAAAGGGCTTCGTTGTGGAGGCGTCTGAATCATGTTTCATACATTGTCTTTGAGCTTACGGATGATTTTGAGGTGGAGACTGTCGAAATCACCGTCGTCCTTGAGCTTGGCAATCACATCGTCTTTGCTTTACTCACTTATTCTTCTTCAGTTGTTCGCTGTTGATGCCGGCCTCCATTGTTGTCGCTTTTCGATTTACAAATATTTCCTCTCTTGTTTTTAGATTATAGCTTTTATACTAAAGAAAAAACATATGCAAACCCTATTTTCGTCTCAAAATTGGTTAATTTATTGACAACAAGGAAAGATCAAAAGAGAGTATTCCCCAACCTTCTCTATTTTCCCTCCTGACAAACCTACTTAGTTGCTACAGGCAAGCAATTTAGTACAATTGAGGTGGGAAAGAAATTACCCTTGAAGAAAGTTGGGATGGAAGAGTAACCATTTTTGTGGAGAATGTTAAATGTTTAATGTTTCGTTTTCCTCTCTTTTAAGTAAAACACATAAATTTCCTCTAAATAGATCCATCTTTCAGTTTTATGATATTTTATTGTCCAAACTCATGTACAACTACACACAAGAAGTCCAAATATCTTATTTGTTTAGTGCAAAGTTTACTTCATCTTCTATTCACAACCAACCGAGCTTCGGAGAGCACCTGTAAATCATACATAGTTCAATGACACATAACAGGATTACTTACATAGTTACATGTATGATGTGCAAACCAAAACAGTGTAGAATGCTCTCGACCAGTAAATAGTCTGCACACTTATTACACTCTCTATAATTGTGGGAAATATCTACTTCTCAATCTCTGTCCATCAGCTCAAAGAATCTTTGAGTAATTGCTGAGTGCTGATAATTGCTTCTATCGGTGCTAGCGGGCAATTGGACTGCACATCGAGAATCCATCAAGACTCGAACTCATGCCAACCAAAGTCTCATCTCATGCCTCTCAACTCTGTCCGGGTAAATGGAGCATCTACCGAAATTCATGTGCACACTGCTAAGCAACGTCTTGTGTGATCTCTGATCAGACCCTCTAACTACTCTCTGGCCTGTAAGAAAATGTGCAGAGCCGTCTTGAGTTGATTCCCTGACATTCTGACATAATAATGTAATCGTTAAAAATGTCAACTCTTCTTAATCTTGGAGTTCAATTAAAGGCGAGCCCCGCCCATTTTCAAGCGGACCCCAGGACAGGAAGGTGTCAAGATCAATGAAATTCCATATACAACAGCAAACTCACGGGAGCAAGTTCCAATTGTCTAAAAAAATATGGCAGTGGGATCCTAAATATCGCATATAATGCGGCCGGCGGGATCTCAGCCGTCCCAAATTCGAAGAGCATTCTCGCTTTTACCTCCAACCACAACTGAACCATCAAGTGAAGTGACCCAGTCCAGTGATTCCCCCGGCAGCTGGAATATCCCCAAAGGACAACCAAAACCAAGTCCCGGACCCAGCTGCCGCCCGGAATAAGGCAGCACCGTCTGTTTATCGCCATAGGGATACGCCGGCCAAGCTTTCCATGTTCTACACTATATAATCAAGTATCACAGCACCTCACTTCCTCAACACCAACCAAATATGCAACCACGAGCAACAATGCCTGCCGCCACTTGTTCTCTTTTGCTTCTCTTCTACTTCTTCACCTTCCACATTGCCCAAACCGCAGCAAACAACGATCTGCAGACCTACATCATTAACATCGGTGAACGCCAAGGCAGGACCTTGGCAGAATCAGACGATGTAGAGACTTGGTACCGCTCGTTCCTACCAACAACAACATCCTCCACCACAATGACCACAGCCAGTTCAGATAGCGATCACCAGCAGCAGAAGGAGAAGGGAAACGACCGTCTGCTCTACGCTTACCATGACGTGATGAGCGGATTCTCGGCAAGGCTGACACCGTCAGAAGTCAAAGCCATGGAGGCAAAAAACCACTTCATATCAGCACGACCCGAAAGATCACTCAAGCTACAGACCACACACAGCCCCAAGTTCTTGGGGCTCCAACAGCGGCAAGGTGTCTGGAAAGACGCCAACTTTGGAACCGGGGTGATCGTTGCAGTACTCGACGGCGGAGTCCTGCCTTCCCACCCTTCGTTCAGCGGCCATGGCATGCCCCCGCCGCCAGCCAAATGGAAAGGGAAATGCGAGTTCAGCGACTCGTCGCTCTGTAACAACAAGCTGATCGGTGCGAGGTCTTTCAACTTAGCAGCCAAGGCGAGAAGCAATGGGACGGCACCTGATGAACAACCGCTTGACATCGATGGTCATGGAACTCACACGGCCAGCACAGCTGCCGGTGCTTTCGTCAGCAATGCTGACGTTCTTGGAAATGCTAGAGGGACAGCAGCTGGAATAGCACCTTCTGCTCATCTCGCCATTTACAAGGTCTGTTTTCCGGATGGGGACCAGGACTGCGCAGAAAGCGATATACTCGCTGGGATGGACGCTGCAATTCACGACGGAGTAGACGTGATTTCCATATCCATTGGAGATGATCCCGGTACGCCGCTTTTCGACGACATTATGGCCGTCGGCTCGTTCGCCGCCATTGAGAAGGGGATATTCGTGAGCTGTTCCGCTGGTAACTTTGGGCCAACGAACAGCACGTTGTCCAATGAAGCTCCATGGATTCTAACCGTTGGAGCGACCAGCTTGGACAGGATGCTCGTTGCTACGGCAAAGCTTGGAAACGGTGCGGTGTACAAGGGCCAGTCCGTTTCCCGGCAGAAAAACAGTAAGCAGTCGGAAAAACAACTGCCGCTCGTGTTCGCCGGTGCTGGCCGCCTCTCGAATTCGTCCTTGTGTGGTGAAGGAGCGCTCGATGGCCTTGATGTGAAAGGAAAAGTTGTTCTCTGTGAGAGAGGCATCGTGGGGAGAATTGCAAAAGGCCAAGTGGTGAAAGATGCAGGCGGGGCAGCCATGATCCTCATGAATAAAGAGATAGATGGGTTCAGTACACTAGCCGATCTCCACGTTCTTCCAGCTACACACGTCAGCTTTGCTGCCGGGGAGAAGATCAAAGCTTATGCAAACTCGACTAGGTGGCCAACTGCAACGGTTGTGTTTAGAGGAACTACCTTGGGGGACACGTCGACACCAGCTCCGGCCATGCTTTCAGTCTCGTCGAGAGGCCCTGCAACAGAGAGCAAAGGGATTCTGAAGCCAGACATCGTGGGTCCAGGTGCAAACATTATAGCAGCTTGGCCATTCTCTCTAGAGAACGCAACAGTCACTGCACCAACCTTCAACGTGATGACAGGGACATCAATGTCTTGCCCTCATCTAAGTGGAGTTGCAGCATTGCTCAAAGGCTCCCACCCATCTTGGTCGCCGGCAGCCATAAAGTCTGCCATGATGACTACTGCAGATGTCACGAACATTGCCGGAAAGCCAATTGTTGATGAGAAACATCAGCCTGCTGACGTCTTTGCCATTGGTGCAGGGCATGTGAATCCAACAAAGGCCAACAACCCAGGTTTGATATACGACATTAAACCCGTTGACTACATGTCGTATCTGTGTGGGTTAGGGTACACAGACCAGCAAGTTGGGAAGATTGTTCGTAGACAGATCAAATGTGCAGAGCAAGAGAAGTTACCAGGAGGGCAGCTGAACTATCCTTCATTCTCTGTCACACTTGGACATTCTCAGACATTCACCCGGACAGTGACCAACGTTGGAACAGCTAGTTCAGTTTATGCAGTGAAGATTAATCCTCCATCTGGAGTTTATGTCACGGTCAAACCTTCAATCCTCAGCTTCTCCGACATGAACCAAAAGGCTACATATGCTGTCACATTCACTCGTGCTAGAAATAACACTGCAATCCGACCATTTGCTCAAGGGTATATAGCATGGACTTCTGATAAATACTCTGTCACGAGTCCAATATCGGTGACATTGCAGTGACAAAATATGCAGAAGAAACCCTATCCATGCCAAGTCACAATTTGTATTACTACGTAAAGCTTCGATTGATGTTGAATTCGACTCAAATCTCCTGCAATTTATCTTAAGTAACTTTCTTAATGAAACAAGCAAGGTTTGTTGAAAATTCTGAAGTAGCAACTCAGTGGCACTTTGGTAGCTAGGGCGTGCACCAAACTGCGACAAAGCTGTGACTAAAGGGCTCTTGGCAGCTTAACTACACCAAGTTAATCGCACCTGATTCAAATAGGAAGCATTAGAATCAATTTAATTAAACCCCAGAAAATACTACAGCAAAGGAAATTGGAGAATCAACGTACCTCTCTCTGCTTTATCATTGAGGATCGTCATATCAGCAACTACTTCTGAAATTTCATAGGAAGAATAGCAAGTACGCTGTACAATTTCACATGCCCTTTTGTTGTGTGTTAACAACTTTTTACAAGAATTTTGACCCAGCAGAGTGTATCTGAATACTCGTGTCCATTTCTAACCAAAGGCTACCTAAAGTTCACCTTTCCATCAAGCAAACTAAAACAGGTGATGAAAGGAAAAACGGGGCACATGTTGCCACTATACCATCTGTACACTAGGTAACAACACCTTTGTCGTAATGACCAAATTCCCTGATACAGGCATCCAATGAGTAGACAACAAAACAACATAAAGTCTCCCGGTTCTTGGGACTAGAACAGACTGAGCAAGAATTGCCTTAAAGCAACTTGCAGAATCCCCCATCCAAAGAATATATGGATCCAAAAAAAGACTTGGCTAATGATGGATCTTCATGTTGCAACTGCATTTCATTTATCTTGATGTGAATGATGCCTTCGTTTATGAGAGTGGTTCTGTCCAGGTGAATTTCTGCAATAAACGTGACTTTATCAAAATTTGATTGAATGGGTTAATAAATCTTCCTTCCGGATAAAAGAAACACTTACAAATCATCATCATCATCATCATCATGCCTTCTACGTCTTGAAGTCCCATGTGTTGACCGATAGTAGCTGCGGTCACTCGAGTTACTGCAAGGAAAATAACCTCGTCAACCCAACTCCCAAAAAAAGGAAGAAAAGTCTAATCAAACCATTTTGCTTCCCAAGAAGAACTAACTTACGATTCACTATCAAGTCTTTTACTTCTTGATGTCTCGTGTGTCATCAGAGAATGCTTTGGTTCCCTTGACCTTCAACAGAAATACGTGAACAGGTTAGTCAAGGAACAACACAGTAAAAGAACATATTTCTCAAAAGTAACAGGATCTTACAAGTCATCCCCTGTCCTTTTACTTCTTGATTCCTCATGTGTGGTCCGTGTTTGGCTACGATCACTCGAGTTTCTGCAAGGTACATCATATTATCTCAACCACGAATATAAGAAGTACTAGGACCACCATTTGCTTCCCAAGACTTACGAGTCATCTTTGCTCCTTTTACTCCTTGAAGTCTCACGTGTTGCTTGAGATTTTCCACCTACCTGCCAACATTAAAAATGGTTCAGAAGCTTACAACGCATGACAACTACATAAGTTCTTCCATAGAATGTATCTGCAACAGCTGCAGTAACATGCCTATCATAAATGATAATAACTACCCAGTGTCACTGATTTCAGAAACATGCTGCAAATGTCCAGAGGTATGTTCTTTTCTATAATATAGAAAGGTCTGCTCAAAGAAATCAAGAGTTCTTTCACAATCAAATATACTTATGGTAACAGTCAATTATAAACTTCCTAAGAAATACCCGCCCTCAGGAAAAACAAAATGGGAGGTGGGGGAAAGATGAAAAAGAAATAGTTTGGTAATCAAAAGCATAATACAATTATATAGCTTCCATTTGGCAAACTACAGAGAGAGAGAGAGAGAGAGAGAGAAAGAGACGATGAACAAACATTTAATGCCAGGATACTGCAATGCATATCAGATAATCCACATCTCGAGCACAGGAGTCGACTACAAATGAAATATATCCGGAGATTTTGGATGAACATAGCATCCTTTTCACAACCATAATAACACATCCACATAATGAAACATCAATGTACTGACCCGTGGATTCAATTTGATGCTTTTACTATGAACCTCCAGGTATTGCTCATATGTCTGCATAGAGTAATCAACATTAAGCCATAACTGTCAGTGGGAGCAGCAAGTTCCTGTGTCATATGAAACAATTAATAATAATCCAGGAAATATTACAACGGATACATTCAAAGTACCAGCACGAATAATATGTCCCTCCTATTAGAAATTTAAAGGTGGCGCTAGAATAGGTTAAGGAGTGTGGGTTGGGAGAGAACTATAGTCCACAAGAAAGTAACTGTCCCATCCACAGTTCTGTTGAATAAAAGTTAGTAACAACTCATTCGAGACTGATATTATCCAAAACCGCTTGCAGATATGAGTAGGCAAGGGGATAACAGAGTAAAACAGCTCAAAGCTTTATGTACATAGGATATTTCGAATGGCTAACAGAAGAACTAGTTAAGGGATGAACAGTCTCATTTTTACATATAGTCCTAAAAATCCATGTTGTAAGGAAATTCTTTGGCTTTCACCTAGGAAGAAATTATTGAATTATCATATACATCCAATTCCACAAGACACAAAGGAAATTCCATGAACTGTCTACGTTGGTACACCTCATTCCCTTTACGAAAGTACCATAACTAACTGTATCATGAAAATCATCATAATAATCAGTGCACTAGCCATATCTATGAAGTTTAAGGACCAAACTGTATGCTAAGGTGCTATAAACCAACCATATCAAGAAAATCATCATCAGTAAGGGTACTGGCATGAGGGCTTTCAGCTGACAGTCCCCAGAAATCCATTTGAGAAGGACCTCCGTGCTGCAGTAATGGGTTAATAGCGTTTCCATCAGGTTTAAAAGTAGTCTTGCTTGCCCGTTTTGATGGACCACAAGCAACACCTGTATTTTCTGGGATAGAAATTCTCATTGGCCCCTGGTCACCCAGGTGAAACCTACTAGCATCAGCAGGATGGTGATAGAAGAATGAAGGATAAGGCATAGGAGTCCTGTCCCATGGAACATGGATCTGGGTTCTACTGTACTCTCCATCTCCTGGTGTATATGGACCCTCTGTGAAAGGCTCTGTGGTGAAACTGTGAAAACCAGAAGAACGAAGAATCAACTTTTCAATTTGAAGGTCCAAGAAAGATGCTAGATAACCAATAGCTTAGTTCAGTGATAAGAAACCTTTTCAGGGATCCGCCGAAATCACTATCCCCGTCAATCAACTTACAAAGGGCTTCACCAATATTCTCGGGCAACTCCTGGAATAAATGGATCAGCTAACAAATTCAGCACCATCAGGCACGGAAGACTTGACAGAACAACAAGACCAACGAAAGAAAAGACACCTGACAATCTCTGCTGATTTTAACAGGTTTGTACTCGTTCAGTGGATTCCTAAGGTGAAGTGTCCTCTGGAAAGGCAGATCATTTAATTGCAACCATTTGACCTCAAAACTTCGGCCCCAAGAATTACTTTTACCACTTCCCTGACTCCATATATGGTCATGCCTCAATCCAATGGAAGACATCATTTGAGCATATCCTTGGAAAAAACCGCTCATGTTGACACTAAATATTAAAATGACTTTGCTGGAATTCTGCAAGCCAAGATAAATCTCAAGTAAAGCATCAAGCTTGAAAAAATGACAAAATGCGCCAATATAGTCAAAGTCTTACATGAAAGGCTTCTTCTAGAATTGGCTCATTCATGACCTGAGTAGCCCAAATTCCTTTATCGACCGACAGTTGGAGATTATGATTGTTCAAGCTTTTAATGATGAAGTACCTTGTATCATACAACCTACCCTTGATGCTTACAGACTGTTTTCCTACCATATGACGACAAGCATTTACACTCCTAGTATAACCATCACCGTCGCCTTTGTAGCTCGGGCTCTCTACAATAAACAATCAAGTCTTAATTTTAGCTTTCAAACTTCTGATATTCAAAACAGGAAGTTGTGAAAGCTAAGAAGAAAGTGAGGGAAATGATAGAAAACGGGAGAGTCGGTCTTGAGAAGAAAAAGAAAATTGAAGTGCACTGAGGTTCAATAGACCAGTCAGTATCTGTTAGGCATTGCCAACTTGTATTGTAGAAGGTACCTGCCATAGGGACTTTTGCCCACCATAATGGTTAAATCTTACATTTATTCTATTCTATTCAAGTCCCAGATTTCATCCTCTTATATAAGACAATCCCTAAGTCAGGGCTTGAGGCATATGATCCCAGACGGTATGCCAAGCATAATAGAACAGAAAAAATTGGGAAAGGCCCCAAATTCGTTGAGAAATACCAGGTCTAACTCCACTCAGCATGAGGAAACCACAAGAAAATCAATCACAGCTATAGTATCTATACCTCCAAAAATAAGAAACAGCAAAGCTGCATTCATCCAAAGAGATTGATATTGTGAAACTGCTAACGGCTCCTGAGAAGAATGTTTAACAATGTCGTCTAAAAGACAGTAAATGTAACATCAGCAGAAGCCATCTTCTGAAGCAATTGAGCAGCAGGGAAAGTAGTCTAAACCAGCTGCCATGACCCTAGCTAAATATGTTGATATAGAGAACAGTAGATAGATACTGGTAGAAGTATTAAGTAAGCAACTGTGCCATGTGTATCTGTATTGACAAGGAAGAACCAGCACAACCACCGACCATAAATTCAAGCTTTCAGTATATTCGCTTATCAAGTAGCAAACAATTAATCCAGCACATATACATTACAGGTTATTAGTACTCAACAAGACTTGCATGTCAGAATTACCTAGATCATCTGAATTTCCCATGTCGAGTTTCCAATCAGTCACTGAAGAATCAACGACAGATGCATTTTCCTTTCCTGTATCGGAAGACATTTTCTTCACTTCCTGGGCCACAAGGCAGGAAAAAGTCGATGATTTGAGCACAAACAAATAGGAATTCGTGAGAAGCAAACAATTAAAGCCTCCATAAAAATAGAAAGCAACAAAACTAAGCACATTTGGGGAACAAAATATAGAACGACTAGTGCAAATGAAATATGAAAAATCAACATGTTTCCCAGAGGCTAACACCGGAAAAACCATAGCAACAAGACAAGAAAGCATGACTACAATACATCATAGAACGGCATAACCCTAGGGGTTTCAAGGATTAACCACAAAAATGAAACTAAGAGATGTGCCAGAAGTCAATTCGTTTGCGGGATTCCAGGTGAACCCATCCTACTACTACCATGTCGCTAGAAAATTCCAAACCAGTTATTAACATTCACTCATTGAGCATAATTCACTGTCACATTCTTCTCATCCAGAAGCTACGAAAAGCAAAAATCATATCAATCAGACCAAGAAAGCAAGACAACACACCACAAAAATCAAACCAATCTCGAACTTTCAAGTTTCACTATCACAGTATAAATTCCCAGGGGTACCTCACTTGAACAATACTTGTTCCTACTATCATCCGTTACCAACGACACTCACAATAATTCATAACCACATTCCAAATGCTTCAGATGAATTCTCACTTCCACTATGACCACCACCAACCTCGCAGACTTTCTTCGACCCAGACTGAACAATCTAATCTACCAAACGCGACCTATGAACGGAAACAGTACACCTCCAATCCAAAACACAGAGCAAACATCTTTGATTACAGTTTCCGGAGTTATTAACTCGCTGAAAGCGCGAGCCAGGAGGAGGAGAAGAAGGACCGTACCTCTGAGTGGTTAACGAAATGGAGACGCGAAGTGGAGAAGGAGGGAACAAAAGCAGTGTAGAGGAAGAAGAATTTGCCAGTAGTACTGCTTCCCTTCCCGGATAAAGTGCTGCTGCTCAGACTGTAAAATCTCTCCTCGCCCTCAAATCCCTAACACTATTCTTTCTTTACTCTTATCTCTTCCTTTGCGGCTTTGCCTCTCAAAATCCAATCATTTCGGACTTTGTTTTTTCTCCAATTTTGGCTAAGTGTTTTTCTGTGCTTGTGCATCTTGAACGGCGGAGATTAAACCTCAGAGAGAACTATCGGACGGTGTGTACAGGGCGGGCGTTTTTTTTGGCGGACAGAGCAGCCGTTAATCGGGAAGGGGTAAATGTCACACCCGGTACCTAGAATTTTCACAAATTTCCAAATTTACCCTCATTTTAATACCATGATTAATTAAGCTCCAGCTAACCATAAACTAAACCAAACGCAGTAGCAGAAATAGGTGGGGATTCCTCCGCCCTCACGTACATTCCACCTCCTTCCTTTCTACATCTCTTCCATGTGGAACTAGCACCAGGTCCATCCGTTGGGCGAGTAATCTACGCACAATCGTCTTATTTGATAAAAATTGAAATATAAATCCAATTGATAATAGTTCATTGTTTTTATAACTTTTGTAATAAATTCGTATTTGTACAAAAGTTTTGCCCAAAAAATGTGCTATGAATACCAGTTAAAATTTTATCTAAAAATTGTTGTATGGAAGTGTTTATGGGAGAAGCTGAAATTAAACTATCCATGCGGATAGAGCAACTTAATGTTTATTATGAAGATGAATTAAAAGAATTTATTTGTAATTTTACAAACAATAATAATAATATATGAGATGAACGTAAAAAAATGTGTTGAAAAAATGTTATATGAGATGAACGTAAAAAAAGTAATAGAAAATAAATACTTGGCCATCAATCCAATAGTCTGAAATCAACAGTCTGATTGATTTCCAGGCTTCCAGCCCACAAAAGAATGGACAAATACTGGGCCACCAGATTGAATGGCAGGGAAGTGGAACCAAAGCCGAAGCCTGTATCCGTCTTTCACCAACAATCGATCGACTCCCTTCTAGTTTCTAATCCTATCTCGGATTCTCAAAAGTTCCACTTCATCTTCCTCGGGTTCTCCAGCGATTCCTTCTAATCCTATCTCTTCATCCTCGCCAATCTAAGAATCCTAGCACCATGCCCCGCCTGTTGGCTTGGGAATTTGATTATTATGTATGTTGTATGTGTTATAACCACTTATAATGTGTGTAAATGGTGAAGATTATTATTCCTTTTTTTATGTGTTGTTACTACTTATAGTGCGTGTAAATATCAAAGATATGGAACTAATAGTGATATACATGTTTACAAATAAAGCATTTATAATTGATCTGTGATATAGTCCAACATATCAATGAAAATGCTTTCCAATATTTATCATATTTGTTGATGACGACACGGGTTATAGATATGAAATTGAATGATTTGAAAGGGCACGTCGCGGATTGATAGCAAAAAACGAATGACCTAAAATGACAGGTAAATTGTCAAATTACCCTTTCGTGAAACCATCACAGGCCTGGGAATTCAAATCCCTGAAAATCCAGCCTTTATATATTATGTAGAAATATAAATAACTTAAGATAAAATATAAATATAGAAACATCATCACCAAACATATTTCTAGAGTTTAATCAAAGAAACAACCATAAATAAAATGTAGTCTAGTTGGTTATAATGTTGTTTCGTCATTTAAGTGACTAGGGTTCAAACTCCAACAATAACATTTTTAATATATAAACATGAACCGGTTGCAATGACAAAAATGACCTTCCTAGAATCACTCTCAGGTCAAGAAATTTGAAATGGGAGAATTCCAACCCATGTTTTGCCTTTATGTATCTTGTAGATTGTAGATTGTGGATACATATATACTAAACCTAATAGCCAAACGCAATTACTGAAACTCAATGGCTAAATGTCGCCCTTGTTTTACTACTATCGTCCTAACTTAAAACTATTAAAATATCCTTCATTAAATAAACTAAATTCAACAAAACAAATACTAATAAAATCTCTAATCCGTCCTCACTGTCGAGTGTCGACCTCTCCAAACACCTACAGTCCTTCACTGTTCCTTCTCCCTTGCTATTCATGGAAGCTGATGCGGAACTAGTGGACGTTTTGTTTGGCTATCTCACATTACCCGTGACCACCATAATCAACCTCTCTCGAAAGCAGCCATCGGTGGAAACATTAAGCTGCATCGACAACTTCTACCGAAACATCGAGGGTCTAGAAAAGATGACTCTCGGGTCCATTCTCCCGCCGGGAAGTGGTGGATGGCGGGCAGGGTGATGTCGGCGGTGGTGAATTTTTTTATATATATAATCCAAGCAACCGTCCTTATTAATCCATTCGCAAATGGCCGGTGGCGGCGATAGTGGAACACTGGCGACGGTTAATAAAGATAGTGGGGAGTTTTTTATGTACCGTGGTGAATTAAATATTTGTAATAAAAAAGCAAAGGGTAAAAATGGAATAATAATTTATAAATTAGGGCGATGATTAAAATTAGGGCGACAATTAGCAACTCTTGTACCGAAAACCTAAACTGATAAAACAAAGCAATAGCAATCCAAACACCATAGCCACCGCCCAGTTCCCATCACCGCTACCTCCTCCCTCGGTACCACCATTTCCCTCGACCAGAAACCAGCATGAATAGATATAATTAGTTGTGGCACTCGGTCTCATTTGGTTAACGTTTGACTGGATGTAATAAATGGATTCGGGGAATGATTAGAGGTGGCAAATGGATTGGATCAAATGGATTGGTGGATCCATGGATTGGTGGATTATCCATGAATCCAAATGACATCCTCAAACAAGAACCAATATGTAAAATGTGAAAAGTTTAGGTACTAAAATGTCACAATAAAAAAATTAGGTACCAAAACGTAAAATATAAAATATATAGGTATCAAATCGTAATTTGCCATTTAGATTCATGGATCCATGAATCCACCAATCCAATTAGATTTGAATCTAATGAATTGGATTAGGTGGATATTTTTAATGGATTGATAGATTGAATTGGTGGATTGAATTTAGAATTGCCACCTCTAGAAATGATCTATTGAAGGATCCATTGGGGTTATACGTGGTGGATATGTTATGCTTGGACGTGGTAAAACAAGTATTGGCTGGGACGTGGGTAGTAGTAAAAGAATGGAACAGGGAGGATGAGTTGAGAGACAAGTTAGCTTACTAATTATCAATGTGGATTAACTTGAAATCATCGTTAGCAGGGGCATACCGGGATTTTTGTGGTACACCTTTAAATTTTGGAAGATCGATTATTCAATTTCCGGTGGTAATTTACGTATAGACAAAAAAAAAATTATAATTAATAGTCGGGACACCCTGAAATTTGAAAGAATGATTATACTACTCTCGTTTTCAGTTTGCGTATGAGAATATAAGTGGTAGTTTGGGTAATTCAAACCCAGAACACTACTATTACTAACAAAAATAATTTCCATTAGAATACAACTTTTTTGTTGTTATATTCTAAACATTGTGTAATAGCAAAACCCTATTTACTATCTTTAATTATTTTCAAAACCTAAAAATTAATCTAATTACAAGCTACCCTTAATTTGTATTGATTTTATAGTTGTACGACAAGTGTTGAAAGTGTTTTTTCAGCTTTGAGTTACATCATGAACAAATTTTTGAAATCAAATATGCGCCAGGTGGTGAATGATTGTCTAGTAGAATATACTGAGACAAATTTGTTGAGCATAATATAATTTTTTAGAATATAAAAATACATTATTTTCTTTTTTTAACTTGTACGAGTTGGATATTTTCCTATTTAAGAATAATATAATTTTTATTTTTCTTTATTTTTTGAAAGAGGACACTGCTATGTAAAATTTCTGGGTCCGCCACTGACCGTTAGCTTGATTAGTCAAGTATTCTGATGGCATAGTTTCATCATGTTAGTGTATCAGTGGGGTAAAAGGATTCGAAAAGCGTGGCGGTCAAGCCTGAAACAAAGTTTAGTTCGAGTTATCCAGATTGATTATCAAGGTGCGTTGGTTAAAGGGGGTAGTTAGTATTTCATCCTCGGTTATTTACTATGTGTTGAATTATGCTATTTCGTGAAATTGATTGAGTGCCAGTTCTGTTATGTTTAAGCTATGCATTTAAAATTAGATGATGTTTACGCTTAGTTAATTACGTGCATCCTTAAGTTCATATGTATGCCTAGCATCAATCTCACTACGGAGAAATTATATGAATATGAATAATTATAAGTTTAGATATCCTTCTTGTGGAGGAAATCGTCTTTGACAAGCTTATGTTGTTGACACGCCAAAACACAACACCAATCTGCGACCAAGTGTAATCGCAGACCGGGAATGCAGTAACAGGCAAGTTATATTATCAACCCGGGCTCTAGATCTACTGCTTACTCAGTGATTCTCTGTTATCTAGCCAACTAAAGTAAGTGATTGTTGTTTAAAAGCAAAAGCAGAAAGAAAGCAGGAAATTATTCGGTTTTCTTAAGCAGGAAAGAGTCACTCGGGAATGAATCCCCCTAGCTCCTTAGTTAGGTTCAATTGCAATTTACCCTGGGTTGATTTACTGTTGATTAGACTGCGGAAGATCCGACAGTAGCTTGGAATCTCTTAAGCTGACCAAGCCCTCTCAGTCTAACTATCCGGCAGACGACTAGTCTTCACCGGGATAGAAAGCTGAAGCAGTAAGAACAGAACTCCACTACTGGAATTGGATTCCAGTACAAAGCAGTAAACTGGCTAACTCTCGTATAGCCAATCTCCTACTATCGAATGATGAGACTCTAGCAACCTAATCAGATTCTATCTATCTCAGATTGCAGCAGGAATCAGGAAAAGTTGATCAGACTTCAATTGACTCAATAAATATGCATCATTCGATTAAAATCAAACAGTAATATCATCCCAAGTCATTACAATCAATCCCATAACACATAGAACTAGGGTTCTTCATCCCCAAGTGAGAGAGAGGTTCTGCTCCGGGATGATGATTTACACTCCTAGGACGATCTCCAAGCTTGATTTGATGAAACCTAGCTCCAAGATGGCTTCTAGGGTGAGTTCTTCGTCCTTTCTCTCTCTAAAACTCTATTTTTGCTCAAAAAGTCCGATTCCCTCTCTTGCAGCCCGGAATTGGGTTAAAACCAGGAAATCCCGACTCACACGGGCAGGGCCACACGGCCGTGTGGCATACCCAGTTGCCCGTGTGAGTTAAAACGCTGCGTTCCACTTAGTTTGATTTTCAGGCTTCTCACACGCACGGCCGTGTTTGATTTCCATCTGCCCGTGTCTGCTCACGGCAAAAGCCGCACGGCCAGAGCACTTCATCACACGGCCCTGTGAAATGTCAGGGCAGGCCGTGTTTGCTCTCGGCAAAACGCGCACGGCCAGAAATATGAGTTGCACGGCCGTGTTATTTGTGGGTGTGCCCGTGTGGCCTCCTTTGTGACTTGCCTCGCGCCCGATCTTCGTCCAATCGACCCCAAACTCGCTCCCGAGTCTCCATTCACGTACTAGGACCTGAAATATCACAAACAAGCACAACCTAGCGTGAAATCGGCTCAAAACGCGAGAAATCACATCTCAAACGGTGTAAGAACAGGGGTAAAAACATGTGTAATTAACGGTCTATCAGTTGTCAACCAAGTAAGCGAGTATATGTTGAATTACATCTCTCCATGATGTGAGAGATAGATTTAGACAAGCAAGTATAAAACACCAAGAAAATAAGTAAGAACATGTTTAATCCTCACTTAGCTTGCTACGCACGCGGTACATGATCCCCATTGTGTGGGTGTTTCGCCTTAGATAGGTGCAAGATCCCCGTTGTGTGGGTGTTTTGTCTTAGATAGGCACAGTTTACACGTTCATGCTCCCCATGGTGAGGGTTAGGGCTGGGAAACAGTCCGGTTCGGTTTAAACCGGACCGGATTGACCCGGTTTTTTAAACCGGATTGGTCATATGCCCAACCGTAGACGGGATTGGATTGGTACACGGTTTTAACCGTGACCGGACTGGATTGATCCGGTTTCAACCCAAAAACCGGATCTCCTTTACTCAATCCCAAAACACAGCCGTTTTTATATTAAAAAAAAACACAGCTGTTTCAATAACAAAAAATCCAATTAGCCTTCTCCTACCAACCACACGTACAATCCCTAATCTATTCCTACTTCCCAAAAAATCCACCCTATCTTCTTTTAATCTACCTTGGCGATTCTTCTTCGCCCTCTTCCTCTCCCTCTCCTTCTTCTGGACCAAACAAAACACAATAAAAGCATCGCCTTCTTCTCCCTCAAGCACTACTCTGGCTCGTCCTACCGATGAGCTCGATTGAAGTTAGAGAGGCGAGAAGAGTTGGATCTGGAGAATCGATTGAAGTCGCAAGAGCCGGGAAGGGGAGATCGAGCGAGAGAGGGAGCATGCGAAATCTGTATAGGAGAGGCATGTCGTCGCGGCCGTTGCGTGTCGATCGATCGGATCTCCTCGTCGTTACGGCCGTCACGTGTCGATCGATCGGATCTCCTCATCGTCACGACCGTCTAGCCCTCGTCGTCGCTGCCTGGCGAGTTCTGGTGGCGGAGTGGCTACGGTCGGCAAAGTGGCGGAGTGGCTACGGTCGGCGGAGTGGCTACCGTCTAGCCCTCGTCCTATCGATTGGATTTTCTTTCTCCTTCTCCTCCTCTCCGTGTGGTGTGTGGGTCTGTGTCTCTATGATTGGGAATGAGATAAGTTTGAGGGTCAGAGGGGGAGAGAAGAACAAAGAAGTTGGATCGATTAGGGTTTGGGAAAGGGACCGTGGGCTGTGCTGTGATGTAAGTGAGGTGGGCTGGGGATGAGTTGTGATTTAGCGGGCTGGGCTGGGGGCTGAGATTTATTTATTTGTTGCTATCCGGTTTTTCCGGTTTTAACCGGATTGGACCGGGCCTGTGGGAACTACAACCGGCAACTGGATTGGATTGGTTGGGATCCGGTTTCCGGTTTCAACCGACACGGTTTTAACTGCCCGGTTTTCGGTTTGACCAGAAAACCAGGACCGGATTCCCAGTCCTAGTGAGGGTAGTCATGTAAAGATATGTTATAACAAGTTTACCGGACGGTTGCGCTAGCTAAGTGGAGGATGGGGAGCCATTGTAAGATAAAATATGTAAGCAAGTACTAGCAAAACTCCTTTTCAAATAAAATGTGCATTTTTTTATACAAGCATCGCATTTGCATGGTTCTGTGTGTATGACAGATGAAATTAGAATTAGGACTAACCCCATGCCCGCACTCAAGAGCTGCAAGGAATTGGATCTTTGGTCAGGGGAAAGTTGCTACTAGAGATGTCATCTTCACAAGGGTTAGTGATTGCATAAGATCCCAAGTGAACTCTTTCACCTATGTACTTTTATTAGTAGGCTTGAGACTAGTGCTCATCTATTGATTTGTTAAGAGGAGTTTCCTACGATGATTTGAAATTATTTCCGTTCTTTCTATTTTGAGTTATTTCGGTTACTCAAGGGAATTTTGGTAAAAGTAGCGCTCGGCCGGGCTAGGGTGTTACAGTAAAGTTTGCCGGATTTTTTTCTTCAAAATGCCCTTGTGGGTTTTCTCGGTTAAGTCTGCTTATCACTTCACTGTCTTGTTAGACAAATAACGGGGTAGATGGAGATCCATGGCTAGTTGGATGGATAGACTCAGCTGGATTAAACTATGGGAGGCTAATATTCCCCCGAAGTTGAAAGTGTTTGTCTTCAACAGAATCCTGCAAACGACGGAAGCCCTAATAGAGAAAGATGTGGAGGTGTTTCCCCGCTGTCTGATTTGTTGGACGGAATCTGAAACGATGGAGCACTTGTTTCTTGACTTCCTAGTAGCCAGGGCTTTATGGGATTATTCAGGACTTGAATATCTAGGTGAGGGTTTGCCTCGTCACACTTTCTCACTATTCCTGAAGAGGTTGATGTTATTCATAAATCAACCTCAGATTTTCATGGCGGTGGTGGCGATCCTTTGGCGGATCGGGTTGTCCCGAAACTAGGTTGTCTTTGAGGGCAAATAATTTGGTTTCAATTCCACTAACAATACCAGGAATGGGTTAGTTTGCCACCAGACCAGGGTCTCCAATGTTCTCTCCCTAGGCTCAGCCCTTGGGTGTTGTACACCCTAATGCGGTATTCTATATGTGGGACAGGGCAGCTAAAAGTGAGTCTCATTCGGCAGACAAGATGATTTTTCAGATCCAAGATGGGAAAATCCTCTTGGCTATAGGGGTGCGGTTTGCTGTGTTGGATGATCCCCTAGTTGTTGAGTTGTTTGTTCTCCGTGAAGCTATTATCTAGTGTCTAAGCCTGGGGTTTACAGAGATCAGGTTTGAGGGTGATGCCAAGGTATTAATTAACGAGATCAATCGGGCGGATACCCATGATAATCGGCTGGGGGCCATTCTCGAGGAAGTCGTGCATTACTTTGCGAGTCAAAGTGGAATTAGTGTGCGATTTGTAGGTCGGCGTAACAATATGGTAGCCCATTTGTTGGCTAGAAGGGCCCTTTCTTTGTACCTGACAACGAGTCGTTTCTTTGACTTTCTTGTTTGGCTTCAGTTCAAGATGTAATTGTCTCTTTTCTAATCAATATAGATGATTATCTTTTATCGAAATAAATTACTCTAAATTTCTACAATGGTATATTATTGAATAATTTTTCAAAATACCTAAATTTGGAGGGGAAATACTATCCTTATGAGAATTATTAAAAAAAAAAGTGTTCCACAAATCAACATTAAAATAAAACATTGCTAAAGGAAGCGATAGAACTGATGAAACGCTAAAGGAAGAAGCGTTTTTACTAAAACACGGAACGCGTTAAGGTGGTTACTAGAATTTTAGTAGCCACCGTGGCTACATTAATATCCACCATCTATTTTTCTCTTTTTTAATCTCACGATTAAGATTGCTCCTGGGCAATTTTGGAAGAAAAAATAAGACTACACCTGATTATTCAATATATTCTACCCTAACCCTAATCCTACTCCCTCACTCCCTCTAGCCAAACCCTCTGCAAGCTCTCATTCCTCCCCAACAGCGATGAAATCCGCCCACCTACACCGGCCATCCCTGCCCCTCCCTCTCTCTCCGACCCTCCCACCTCCACCAGCCTGCACCGACCATCTCTGCCCCCACCCCTTATTTCCGATCCTCTCGCCTCAATGGTATTGTTTTTGTCGCAATAGTATTTTTTTGTTACATTGGTATTGATTTTGTCACATTGGTATTGCTTTTGTAGCATCTGTATTGATTATCATGTAGTGGTAGTAATTTGCATGCATTGATTAAATCTGAAATGATACTGGTTTTTTTTTGTGAAATTGTAGTATTTTTTATTTTTCGAATGGTATTGGTGTTTTGTGCAATAATAGTATTTTTAATGGATTGATATTGATTTATTGTTTTGTTGTTGCAGCGATATTAGTTCGGCTGAACGAAATCAAGAAAAAGATTGAGAATAGGAAGGAAGATAAATCTGGATGAAAATTATGGAAGTGAGAGAAAAAGAGAGAGAGAAAATGGTAGTTAATATATTTATGTAACTACCTAAAATGTAATTTATTAAAAATGGAAATTAATAAATATTGTTTCTCATACACAATATGCACTTAAAGTAAAACATTGCTAAAGGAAGTGCTAGAAATGATGAAACGCTAAAGGAAGAAGCGTTTTAACTAAAACACTTGAGAACCTGCGCTTTAAATTTAAAATGGAAAGAATAAATGCTTTTTAACTAAAATATGTTTTCAAATGGAGCAAAAATGTGTTAACGCATTGGTGAGCAGCTATTCTTTTGTTTAATTCGATATGAATTGTTATCTATGCTAACATTTTCTGACATGTGGCACAAATCGCTTGATTGGGAAGCGCTTTCCATATTGTGTTGTGATTGGTACAATCCATTGAAAGCGGATCGCTGCCTAGTCAAGCATTTTGTGTCAAGTGGTGCAGATCGGATAGGCGGAAGCGTTTCTGCATATGTTGCCTCTTGCAACATTTTTGCCCAACACACATAAACCTATAAATACCCTCATTCTTCACAACTAACACATGTCTTCCCTCTCTTCCTTCTACCAGGATTTTTTGGTATGAGCATATAGATGATAAGGTTGAGATCGTTATGTAGAGTAATGTGGGAGGCTCATGTACTCTCAGTCTCTCACATCGCCTTCAACCCCTTAACTAATCACTTATTCCATATCTTCTGCATCTTCCATCTAACTGTCATACGGAGGAGGCGACCTCTCGATAAAAGGATCACCATTACCATCATAATCTCTCCCTACACCCTCATCCACGCCGCACAACATGGGTGATCTAGAATGAGCTTGAGGAGGATTTGCAACATTGTGTCATTCAGCGCCCATTCTGGCCACTTTGTCTCACTAGACTTAACATATGAAATAAGTTCAAGATGATCAACAAGTGCTTTGTATTATTCCCATGAACTACAACTAACATCTCCTTCATAACCGTTGTAGCCTCTATATTGATAAAAAAAATCAATTCAACATACTCCACAACCCTCATAGCCTCGAGAAGCACCACTATGACCTCCTCCATAACCTTTCGAACCACTAATATCATATGGTTCATATTCAACTACATCACTACCATAGTAGTGAGAAGAAGTTGCACCATCATGATATTGCATAGCAGCTTCTGCGCTTTCTAATCTTTCTTGCAGTTTTACTTCTCGCATGTACAATAGGATTGCCTATTCTGTGAATCAAAATACTCTCTCATTGACAGTTCAACTATTTGTCAATTGCCGAATTTGATTGCTTGGTGTACTCTAGCTATCTATTTCAATCTTCTATCTTTGGTCAAAAAAATTAGTGGTGATAAAATCCTTTCTCTATATCGTGAATTGTTTTGCGTGCACACACTTTATAATGAAGTTCATATTCTCTATATCATGAATTGAATGTTATTTGAGTGCATTTGTCCCAACTCCCAATCAAACGACCACGAGCTTGGGAATTTAACACAACAACAACTAGTGGCCCGGTTGGGTTTGTCACCGACCTCTCTCTTCCCTTTTTTTTTCTCCGACCTCTCTCTAGAACACTCCCCTTTTAGACGGCCAAGGGGGATATCACCGGCGTCCCTCCAACGATCGATGGCAGCCCTCCCACCTTCTTTGTTTTCCTTTTTTTGTTGCTCTTTGTGTTGCTACCTTTTCCTTCATTTCTTCGGTCCTTTCTTCGTGGCTTTTCTTCTACCCCCTTGTTGGGCTCTTCTCTCCCCTCTTTGGGATGCTTTTGTGTGGCCTTTGGTATATTTATTATTGATCTAGAGATGACGTCCGATCGAAGATACGATGAAGGCTAGATCTAATATAGATCTAGCTTGTTTTCTCCTTTTCTATCCATCGTCTACCTCCTTGTCTCCAATCTAGTTATGCTCCTAACAGACCATTTTGTTAGGAGATACTGACACGGCAGGATAGATGGCCACGTCGCCGAGCCGGATCGGATGGTGGAGGAGGATTGGCGCCGACTTGTGAGAGGAAGAGAGCTGAGTCCATCGGCTGCCCCAATTCCACTATCCAAAGGGGCCCACAAATTCAAAAAAATCAATGCCTTTTCTTAGTCTCATTCTCTCTTCAAATCACTTCGTTAGTTTCCTTTCTCTCTCTTCAAAAACTTTTCTGTTTGCTCCTCCCTTTTTCTCCCAATAATCACCAGAAACCCTCTCCGACTCTAACGAAGCAAGCGACGGTGACTGTGAGAATGACGACGACGACGGTATCGCGACAAGGAAGAAGTTGTCGGCGACGGTAGTCGTGCTTGAAGGAAGAAGACGACGGTAACTGTGCTTTTTCCTCTCTCTCTCTCTCTCTCTCTCTATTTCATTCTTCACCTTGCTTATTGTGATTCAATCGATTTCAGAAAGCGATTGTTCTATTTTCATTTAGGAGAAAAGGGAAGAAGCTTTGAAGGCGAGGGAGATATGGCATATTTGCAGATCCACACCGTCCTCATTGGAATATCACGAGGGGATTCGATTTTTAGGGTTCCATTTTTCTTTTGATTTTGTTTCTTGGATTCTGATTTTGTGTTTCAAATAAATAAGTAGTGTTTGAAGTTAGGGTTTAATGGATTCGACTAGATCTGGGTTTTTCTTTTCCTACGTTTTTTTGTATGCGTTTGATGGATTTGTTTTCTGGTAACTTAGATTTGACTAGATCTGGGTTGCTTTCTTTGTTGATTATGTGGATATGTTTTCTGGGTTTGTGGATGTGACTAGATCTGGGTCTGGGTTGCTTTGTTTGTGGATTTTGCGAATTTGATTGGATCTGAGTTGCTTTGTTTTCTGAGTTTTGTGGATATATTTTGTGTGTGTTCCGATATTAGTTCTGTTCGGGCATGATATCAGTTTTTAATTGCTTGGATAGTTGTTTGATATATCTGGATATTCCTACATTGATATTGGTTTTGGTCGACCATGATATCATTTGTGAATTGCCTGATAGTTGTTTGATATATTTGGATATGACTTGTTTGATATTACTTCTGATTGTTGGGGTATTCGTTATGTGAAGTCCAAATATTGGTTAGTTAATGTCAGGATATTCTACTAGGCAGGGTAATCACAATGACAAGAACTAAATCAACTGCAATGAGGACCACATCAGAAGGCGAAACCTTTAGGCCTAAATGTGCCAAACAACAACAACAAAATGAGGACCAAGAAATTGAGGATGAAGAAAGTGATGACCAAGACGATGAGGGAAAAGGAAGAAAAGTTGATTTTAGATTTGTGTAGTGTGATATTGGTTTGTAAAACTGAACTTAGGGTTAGATAATATTTAGGGAAGGATGTTAGTTTGTAGCATGATGGATAATATTTTGTCAAATGTTGGATATAATTACCAACATAAGTTCTTATTCAAAAATATATCGTACCTCCCAGAAAAATATCCGTCTTTATGTAGAATAATATCCTTAAAGCTCAGACTAAGTCCAAAAGATGATCGACATTTTGGAGCACCAAGCCCACACTTGAACAAAGAATTTTCTTAAGTACTATTTTTTGTTTGGAAAGTTATAATCGCCATGTCGGAATGACTTTGACTACTAATTGTATCGAGTGTTCTCACTAGTTTTGCGTACTAGAAAACCATAGCAGACCAATATCCGTACACCATAAAAAAATATCCACAACACCCGGACTAATATCTCATCGCCTAAGACTAATATACATTCAGATCGTAAATAATATCCTCACCATACAGAATAATACCCACCACACACAGACTAATATCTGAACATCACAGACTAATACCCACCACACATAGACTAATATCTAACAATCGCAAACTAATACCAAAAGTAATTAAACTGGCTAATGAACCCTAAACTCTAAACCTCAACCCCAAACCCTGAACCCTAAACCCCAACCCCCTAAACCCCAAATGCGAATCCTAAACCCTAAACTCCAAACTCTAAAATGTAAACCCTAATTCTAAACCCTAAAACTAATACCAATTACACATAAACACTAAACCTTAATTGCTAATTAAACTAAATTTCAAAATAAACATAGATAAACATACACACAAAACAAATCCAAACCACCCAGAATGATATACGTTCACCATAACAAATATCCACAACACCCGGACTAATATCTCATCGCCTAAGACTAATATACATTCAGATCGTAAATAATATCCTCACCATACAGCATAATACCCACAACACACAGACTAATATCTGAACATCGCAGACTAATACCCACCACACATAGACTAATATCTAACAATCGCAAACTAATACCAAAAGTAATTAAACTGGCTAATGAACCCTAAACTCTAAACCTCAACCCCAAACCCTGAACCCTAAACCCCAACCCCCTAAACCCCAAATGCGAATCCTAAACCCTAAACTCCAAACTCTAAAATGTAAACCCTAATTCTAAACCCTAAAACTAATACCAATTACACATAAACACTAAACCTTAATCGCTAATTAAACTAAATTTCAAAATAAACATAGATAAACATCCACACAAAACAAATCCAAACCACCCAGAATAATATACGTTCACCATAACAAATATCCACAACACCCGGACTAATATCTCATCGCCTAAGACTAATATACATTCAGATCGTAAATAATATCCTCACCATACATCATAATACCCACAACACACAGACTAATATCTGAACATCGCAGACTAATACCCACCACACATAGACTAATATCTAACAATCGCAAACTAATACGAAAAGTAATTAAATTGGCTAATGAACTAATATCAACAGACTAATATCAGTTAATGAGAACACAAATATCCAAACATCCGAGACAAATAGTTGAAAATATGAACTAATATCAATTCAACCAAAGCTAATATCCGAACCACCTAAACTAATACGCATTCTTTGCAAAAACAAATACAAACACCACCAAGTTTAATATCCGACTACAAGACTAATCACTAAATCATAAACCCTAAACCCTCACTCTCCTACTATTATTGTTTCATAGGCCTTCGGCCCATGGGCCCTCGGCGGGCAGCCCTAACTAAGGTTGCAAGCCTTATGTGTTAGGACTTGATAGTGTGTTTAATTTTGATGGAAGACACAATATTTATTACTTCACAAACTAATATCCACTGCATATAAAATCAGTTCATGCAAAAATAAATATCCATACCGCCCAGACTAATATCTGACCACATAAACTTGAAATCCTTCAGTCCATGGATAAATATCCACACGAAAAAGAATAAGAGAGGTTGAGAGAGAAAAGAAGTGGTCCAAAAATAAATTCCCCCAATCACTCTCTTCCCCCCCCCCCCCCCACTTTTTCGTCACTTCTCTCTTCTTTGCAATTACTTTTTCCATTTTTTCTTTTCATTTTCTGTCACTTCCCTCCTCTCTCCAATTATTTCTCACTTTTCTTTATATTTTTTCTGTCACTTCTCTTCTCTCTCCAATTAATTCTCTTTTTTCCTACTTTTTTCTTGGTGGACCCGCATAGGCCACTTTATCAGTTTCTCTCTCCATTTTAATCATCCGCCAGACCCCCTTTTTTCCCTTTCTCCCGCCCAAAACATTGGCTTCTACCAAGCCAAACCCATCGGCTCCCCCCTTTACTTGGCTGGGCTAAAAAGCCACAAGAAATCACTTAAATGAGCCTTCTATTTGCATCCCTTGGATCTGAGTTACCTCCACGTGGGCCTCCATCCAACCCTATCAGTATCTGCTAACAAAAAGCATTGTTAGCAGTTTAACTTTTTCGCCTTGTCTCACCTTACAGGTCGAGGTGTTTCGGAGATGCAGTCGTGTGGCGATGGACTCAATTAGAGGCGCTTGAAAACAGAAGTGCTCAATCCTCTGTTTCCTCTGCCGACTGACCGTTTGATCTTATGTTTTCTTGTTAAGGTGCGACGAGAGGCGGAGGAGGATCGACCCGGGGTGGGATGATTGGAGTTGTCTTCTTCATCATCCCGCCATCTGGGACTGGCGGAAGCTTGTGCCTTTGTTTGGTGCATGTTGGCGGTAGCTGATGGGTTGCACAATTGTGTATGTTACCAGGCGGCGGCGATGGCTTCGACGGCGACGACAGAGAACTCATGAGGGGCAGAAAGCGATTAGGGTTTGAGGCCTGTAACATATGTGTTTGGCTTTGGTCTGGACTCTATTGGGTTCTGGCCCATTTTTGTTTTGGGCCACTTGTTTTGGCTTTTTAAATTTCGTTGTTTTCTGTTGTACTTTTTCATTTGGACCTGACCATTCGCATTCTTAATGAACAAACCATTTTTAAAAAATAGTGGCCCGGTTGTTTTTCTCAAGAGAAAATGGGTATCACGTCAATTAAATTTATGCAACAACAATAATTTATGATTATAGTACTAATCAACAAACTTTCCGCAATATTATCAAATGTATTATACACTAGCTGTTTGTTGTTGATTGATGCCCACCACGACTTTTACTTAGAGCTATTTTCTTTATTTTTCTCAGGTGATTTCCTATTAATATATGTTGGAAGTTTATATGGTAGTAATTTTGAATTCGATTATCCAATAGATACAAATTTTTTGTTGTTTTGTATAACTGTTACAGAATTAATTTTTTATTAGGGGTAAATTTCATATTATATGTTGAAAGGTGTAAAGTAAATCCAAAATTATCACCAAATCTCATAAAATTCAGAAAAATATGTACTCTCTGAAAATTGTCCCTAATAAAATTTGTTTTGTAGTACTTGAAAATTTAATCAAAATAAAGAGTTGCTTCAATTGGATGATAGAGCACAAAATTATAACCTTCTAAAATTCGACAAAAACAAAAAATGCCTCGTATAAAGCAACAAATGACCTTATTTGGAGATAGAGGTAGACTAAACAGACTTCAACATTTACGCATGCGTAGATATAAAAAAAATATGAGAAATAAAAAAAAATGTGTCGTTCGAATAATCAAGTGTAAAGTTATGTTCATATAAAACCTAAACCAATCAGAAGACACCGTTTTTATTTTAGCGATTTTCAGTTTTCAGCATACATTCTGAAATCTACCTCTAATAAAAGTTGTAGTTTTTGAAAAATTATGCATAATTTTTTTTCTTCAATCAGATAATCAAACTCAAAATTGAAACTGTCTGATGTTTCGACATATATTAGTAGCAAACTTGTATAATCAAATTTTTTGGATAAGTTTTCTGTCAAATTTGATATTTTTGGGTGGATTAATTTAACGGCGAAGCGACTATCCGCACTTTTTCCTCGTTGGTATGAATGATTGCATATCACACTTTTATTAAATTCACCATTTGACGAATAACTGATGTTAACTAAAATGATTATCTCGTGCGCTCCTTGTACTTGTAGCTAGTAATTAACTCTTTGCTTTCCTACTCCAAATTAAATTAAGGCAACATGGTTGCTTCATTTGTTCATGTGTGATAATTCAGAGCCTAGGCCACTTTTTAGTTTAAAATATAAGATATTAACAAGCATGTACAATATTTTTTTTATAAAAAAAGTCGTCATCCCAATTTCAATACGCATATTACTTATTAATCCTTTTCAAATTTCATATTGAAATAAGAAACAAGCATACCCCTCCGGCCCTCCCCCTCCACCATCAAACGTGGCAATCTTCCTCCGTCATCCCTTACTCTACTTTGTTTGGTGGAAAGGATGCTTCCTCTAATTTGTCTTTCCATCGCCGTGAAGAAAACCGCAATATAATAATATATCAAAACGGTAAAATGATAATTTTAATATTTTTACGATGATACTCTGTAATTTCTAAAACGATCTTTTATCCACGATAATTTTTTGGGTGTGCCTACGGTGATATACATGTCACGGTGACTTGCACTTTCCGGTCGACCTCAGCTAGGATTAGGTCGACCTCATTTAGGATTCGGTCGACCTCATATAGGATCCGGTCGACCTAATCTGTTGTTTCGGTGTAAAAACAGTTCACGGTGCTTACTTTGGATATTCATATCATACAATTGGCTAGATGGAAATTGAAGACTGATGACTTGTTTTGAAGCTGGAGTGTCCCTCTACATATTGAAGTGATTGATAGCTCGATACGAAGTCCAGAAGACCATTTTTGAACCTCATCAAAAGGCTATGCCAAAACTGGGAAACTGTCTAGAAATGGCTAAGTCTGGAAACGTGTTTGTGAAGTCTATTTTTGAGCTCAATTCGAGAAGCATGAATGCGAGTCGAGTCCAGGAGCCTCTACCACGTTAAATTAGGTATGTTTTTATACAAATTCAAGGAATTGGATGAATGATTGGATATCTTTAAGGCTTCAAACAAAAGGGTCGAAGTTGCTACGAAGGGTGTTTTTCTGGCAGACTTTGAGCACAAGCAAGCTGCCAGAAAAACAGCCTTCGTAGCAACTTCGAGCCTTTTGTTTGAAGCCTTAAAGATATTGAATCTTTCATCCAATGCCTTGCCTTTGTATAAAAAAATACGTAATTTAACGTGGTAGAGGCCCCTGGACTTGACTCGCATCCATGATTCTCAAATTGAGCTCCAAAGTAGGCTTGACAAACACGTTGCCAGACTTGGCCATTTTCAGGCAGTTTCCCAATTTTGGCATAGCCTTTTGGTCAGATTCAAAAAAGGTCTTCTGGACTTTCTATTGAGCTCCCAAGTACTTTAATGTGTCGATGGACACTTCAGCTTCAAAACAAGCCTTTAATCTCCAATTTCCATCTAGCCAATTGTAAGATATGAATCTCCAAAGTAGGCACCATGACACTGTTTTTACACTGAAACAACTGATTAGGTCGACCTGATCCTATATGAGGTCGACCGAAAAGTGCATGTCACCGTGACATGCATGTCACCGTAGCAAAGTCCTAATTTTTTTGGGTTGTAGATGATATTACATTTGGGCATGAGGGCGTTAAAGGTTAAAGTAGTTTGTGAGTAGGATTAACCATATGGGTGTTTAATCCACGCTTAATTAACATCGATCTACCAACAAATAACAATGAACGCATTGTTGGAGGATGCCCCTCTCGTTTTGTGGAGCTCCCTTGATTTGTATTCTGGTTCTCTGTTGTTTTTTCTTTTGTTCTCTGCCACCTGGAAGTCTTTTCTATGTTTCTTTGCCAGATTTTTATTTCTACTTTTCTTTACGGTTTTTCCGTTCCTATTAATAATGTTCGCCATTTTCTAAAAAATTTGTGGGTGAATGATGGCTAGAAAATTTTATATCTGCATTTATTAAGCTGGGTGGTAGATGGATTGTGGGTAACCCAAATAACTCGCATTTTATTCACATGATAAAGAATTGTTTATTGTTTATACTATCGAATAATCATCATATTTTTTAATGACACCACATATTGACCAGTGACTTCTAAAATCTAAAGGCAAAAATACATAATGTTCTTGAATTACTAGTATTGGTTACCATGTTGTGGAATGTCCATTCGATATTGAGATGCAAATTATAAACTGGTAATTATATCAAAGTCAAAAGAGCGTCAATCGGATAATGGAGTAATGAAATATTGCCAAAGAATTGAAATTAACCCACAAAAGAGTACTATCAAAATGAATACATACTCCTAATCTGAACTATATAATATTGATCTATGACCCCCAATAAAACAACCTACTAGCAAGCTAGAATATATAGCGACCCCAACTCGACATGCAGTCCGTTGTCACTACGCATGGAATCAACCTACGATCGAGATTATCATTAACTATGATAAACACTAAACATATATATGTATTAAAATATTAATTCAACTACCTAGCTAGCTACAAACCAACCATGGAATAGGTTACGGTGAAATCCTTTAATTTAAGGGGTTGTTATGAGAGCGGATCCCATGACTAAGAGGGGTCCTTAGTCACTTGACTAAGCCCCTCCTAATCATTAGATCTGGACACTTCAATCCAATGGTTAAAAAGTGGGAAGGGCTATTTAATTAATGACAGGGGTAGTTTGGGTATTATGGAAAATTACGAAGTATACAAACCGGATTTACAATCAGTACAAACCATACAAACATACGAACAATACAAACTAGAGCGACAAAACATACAAACAGATTCACAAACATTACAAACGTATGAACTGTACAAACAATACAAACTAGACCGACAAACAATACAAACCATACAAAAAGAAAAAACACCCGGGTTGACTTTGGAGGCTCCATCCCTATATAGAGGGGCTCCTTCCCAAAGTCAACCCGGGTGTTTTTTAGACATACAAACATGGTGGACAAAAATGACAAACTAGACCAAAAATTCATACAAACTCGAAAAACACCTGGGTTGACTTTGGAGGCTTCATCCCTATATAGAGGGCTCCGTCTCAAAGTCAACCCGGTTGTTTTTTAGACATACAAACATTACGAACATGGTGGACAAAGATGACAAACTAGACCGACAATCCATACGAACTGGAAAAAAACACTCGGGTTGACTTTGGAGGCTCCATCCTATATAGAGGAGTTTCATCCAAAAGTCAACCAGGTTGTTTTTTAGACATAAAAAACATTACAAACATGGTTGACAAAAATGATAAACACGGTACACAAAAATAACAAAGTTTACAAACATTACAAAAAAAACCGACAAACATTACAAAATAACAAAGTGTACAAACATTACAAAATAAATCGACAAACAATACAAAGCATACTAACAGTACAAAATCTCTCTCTCTCACCTGGGACAATTCTTCCCATGTCTCCTCCCCAAAATAAATGAATGGACAGCACAGCAGAGGAGACGAGGAAAAGGAATAAAAGCCGGCGGTCAATTTTCCCGGCCGGGGAAACGCGGAAGCTAGCAGCAGCCAATTTTTTATTATTATCTAAATTAATAAATTAAATAATCATGCAATTACTATATTATCCTTTATTAAATTGGATTAATATGGGCCATTGAATTTTAATGAGGTGCAAGGATGGAGATTGACTTAGTCATGTGACTAAGGGACCCCCCTTAGTCACCTGATCTTAGCCCGGTTGTTATAGTAAATTCGATCGTGATAACATTGCTCTAAACTGCTTGTTATTCTTTTTTCATATGTTCTAAAATGACAATCAAGATTGTTTTAGAGTAATTAATTTTAAAAGGGTTAATTGCATGGTTGGTCACTGAGATTATAAAAAACGTTCAAGTTTGGTCACTCGAAATATTTAAATCCATTGGTGGTACTTCAGTTTACTGAAACCGTTCATGTTTGGTCACTCTCCGTCCAACTCCGTTAACTTTTGCTTACGTGGCGGTCAACTCTAAAAGTTGAACGTTAAATGTGTGACGTGGCAATTAAAAAATAAAATTTAATCTTTGAATAATTTCCACCTCATTTTCACAAATATTAAAACTTAAAAAAATAAAACCCCCTAATTTGTTATCTCCTCCGAAAAACCTCAGACCTTATTCCATCAACGTTCTCAGCAGAAACCCCCTGTGCCCGAATAGTGGCGCGTCGTGGATCTCCACCCCGACCGGCACGCGTAGCCGCCCTGACACCAGCTCGGAGAAGGTTTCCAGCCCCCGCATGGCTCCCCACACGGTGGCGGCGGTGAGATTTGCGGTTGCGGAATTGGGGATGGAGAGGGTGTAGGACTCGTCGACGTCATGGACGCATGTGGCGGCGAGGTCAGCGACGGAGATGGAGAGGGATTGGAGGGGAGAGGGCGATGTGGAGAAGTTGGTGGTGGTGGTGGCGCTCGGAGGAGATGAGGCGGTGGTAGCGGGCGACGACGGCGGAGAGGTAGTGGTTGGATGATGATGAGGGGGAATCGAATTGGAAGGTTCGCGCGACGGAGGCTGGGTTCCTCCTCAAGTTTATGAAGCTGGGAGATGTTGTACTTAGAGTAAGTTAAATAGGTCTCGTTCCGATTATTATCCACATAAGAAATGCTCATAAGCTTCAATTTCATCTCCAAAATGGAGACGGAAACACGACCAGAGAAAGATTCGCTCGCTCAGAAAGACATGTACATGTTCCGGAACTCGAGTGACCAGTTTGGCCCCAGCTTGAGTGAGAAGGGGCCTGTAGCAGGGTCTTCTCTTTCGGCACGAGGTCAGAGATATCTTGCTCCGTAACCTTGTTGAACCCAATCTTGCTACCGGGGATCCAGGTATCTTTAGGGTGATCAAAGCTCTGCCAAAGCGATTGATTTGGGGAAATTGGAGAAGACCCATTTGATGTTAGGACAAGATTTACGTCATCCAAAAGCACAACTTCTGCGTAGCGGAACTGCCCGTCGACCATACCCGTGGACCAAATTTCTCGATCTGAGCCGTCGTAGAGAGGCAGGTATCCGTGATCGGTAACCTTGAGCTCGGCAGAGAACCTATTGGGAATTAGGGAATAACTGTTTCTATTTGCTACCCAAACCACCGTCCTTGCTTGGAGAAACTTGCTTGTACCAAATCCCTACGCAGTAATTTCCTGATTTCTCAGGCTTAAAGAAACCCAATTTGAAGACTCCCCCTGCCAGGCGATAGTTTGGTCGCCGGAAAGTGAACGAATTGGAGTAATTCGATCCGCTCCAGAGGGAACTCAGGATTAGAAGAGAAAGGCTCAACAAGATGGTTTCCATTTTATTTTATTTACATATTTCATGGTAAAAATGAGTTGGACATTAAAATAGATTAAATTTTATTTTATTTATATTTCTTAATTGCCACGTCACTAAGTTAACGGTAAACTTTGAGAGTTGACTGCCACATCAGCCAAAGTTAACGGAGTTAGACAGAGAGTGACCAAACCCGAATGCTTTCAGTAAACTGAAGTACCATCGATGGATTTAAATATTTCGAGTGACCAAACTTGAACTTTTTTGTAATCACCAACCATGCAATTAACTCAATTTTAAAAACAAAAAATTTATCGCATCTGAATGCTACCCACTTTCATATATGGACTTTTTATCTCTCCCAACCTGATGATTCCCTCTCCCTCTGCTCTCTGACGCTTCCTCCAGTCCGCCGTACCCGTCCGTCCTTGGTTCCCAAAACCAAAACCCTATGACTTGTCCTCGATCGACAAGGTGAGAGGGGCAGAAACAGTTTGAACCGGGAGGAACTTCCCTTGTTATTGATTCTTTGGCTCCCATTTAATTTATTTTGTTGTTAGCCAGGTTTACTTTTTCCTACACAAACCTCTAAGGCTGTAAATGAGTCGACCTGTTCGCGAGCGTCTCGGTGCTCGATTTAGGAAAAACTCGTTCGACACTCGACTCGTTTATTAACGAGTCACGCATGAGCTAAGCCTTGTTCAGCTCGTGAGCTAGCTCGACTCGGTGGCTTGTTGAGCTAAACTCGTGAGCTGGATCGTTTAGAGCTCATGAGATGTCTCACATTGTGGCTAGAGAGCTAACTTGATTGCCGACTTATGGCCGAATCGATCTCTATCTTATGAGTTTTATTCATATGATTGTTAAATTATATATCTCACCCTATATGAAGTTTAACACACTGAGTATGTGAGCAAATATGTATTATTTTTTATTTTAAAAAGAGATTTTATATCGCATATCGCTTCGATACTTTTAAATAACATGATTTGGACTAGTTAAAATTTATTAACTACATAATATGATACTAACAAAGTATAATATGAGATTAGTTAATATTGAGCATTTGACTATTATTTTTTTCATCAAGACATCAATCACATGTATCATACATGACAATGAAATGTCAAATATGACTCAAGATTTTACCAAACAAGCCTAGCTCGAGCTCGACTCGACTTGGCTCGTTAATAAATGGCTCGAGCTTGAGCTCATCTCGTTTATTAACGAGCCAAGCTCAAGCTGGGGTAAAACTCGGCTCGACTCGGCTCATTTGCAGCCCTCAGAAGTGCTGGGTGATAATGGTGGGAAACGGTTTGGTCCAGTCAAAACTGGACTGGATTAACCCGGTTTTTTAAAACCGTTTCGATCAAGACAGCAACCGGAAATTGGATTGGATAGGGAGCCGGTTTCAACCCTTATTTACTTTCCTTCTCTTTCTTCCTCCCAAAATCTCAACCCTTCTTTTCATGTCTTCTCTGTCATTACCGGATCCTCGTCGATCTCGCCTCCGCCAACAGAGCTGCCCCTTCCTGTCCTTGAATTTTTCCGAACAGAGCTGCCCCTGCCCCTTCATCGTCGACCTCACCTCCGCCAATAGATCTACTCACGAACTTGTCGCCTCTTCCAACACAGTCTCGAGAGAGAACGAAGAAGAGGAAGCGGTGAAGCAAGAAAAGAACGAGGCGGAGTCTGAGGGAGATTGGAGGAGATAGATCGGCGGTGTAGTTTGGCGCATGCAGAACTCGACGGAGAAAAGCTCAAGATGGGAATCAATAATCGTCGACGGTTGTGTCTTCGGAGTCCTCCTCTCGTCTTCTTCTTCTTCTTTTGGTGCGAGAGTCGACGATTAGACAGCCGAGGTCGTCGTCGGCTCATCGGCGTGGGTGAGAGGGGTGAGAGATTGAGATTAAGATCGAGTGAGAAAGAGGGTGAGGAGAGCGGCGGTTGTAGGACTTAGGGTTGTGGGTGGGGTTACGGGTTTTGGGGCTTCAAAACTAAAGAGGTGGGGCTTGGGCTAGGCTTCACGGGGTCGGGCTTGGTGTTTGGGACAGGGGTTTCGTCCCATTGTGTTTGGGTCTAGGTTTGGGTATGGATCTCGGGCTTCACAGTAAGGAGGTGTGACTTGGGCTGGGCTTCACAGGGTCGGGCTTAGTCTTGGGTCTGTTATCCGGTTTCTGGTTAAAATCGGGTAAAACTGGACCGGGACCGGGGCGGTTATTTACCCTCAACCTCAGACCGCAAACTGGATTGGATTAATGAGAATCCGGTTTCCGGTTACAACCGGGATGGTTTAAACTGCCCGATTTCAGGTTTGACCGAAAAATACGGACCGAATTCCCAGCCCTACTGGGTGATGTACTTGACGTCCTCCGTCTCTAGGCCGAATGCCTCCGTCGGCTCCAAGGGGATAAGGCTGGAGGAAGACGGCGGCAGCCGCTCCACAATTGGTCGGCAAGATATGCATTTCCTGACCTTTTCATAGTGGTATTGATTTTTCCCCCCTGAAATTTAATGTTCTTTTTGTTTTCATAGTAATGGTGGTTTTTTTGTATTATGGTATTGGTTCATCTGAACCGACATTGATTTTTGAAGTGACAGTATTTTTTATGATTTGGAATTGATTTCTTGTTTCGAAACTCGTATCCGAGTTTTGTATTCTGATATTGGTTTTCTAAACTGGTAATGACGTTCGTCTAAACTGCATGATATTGGTTTTTCCAAAGCGGTAGTATTTTTTATGATCATATACTGATTTCTTGTTTTATTTTTATAGTGGTATTAGTTCTTTTGAAATGAGATTTGTTCATATAAACTAATATTGATTTGTCTGAATGGGGACATACAAGAATCGAAAAGAAGAAGATATATAGGTGGCGAGAAAAATAAAAGCCCCAGGAAATTTGGGAGAAAGAAAATGTAATTAATGAATTCTACTATGCTATAAAGTATTTGTGCTTAAATGTACAACTCAAAGTTGTACCACAATGTTAAATGTATAAGTTAAGGTTGTACCACAAAAGAATTTGTACCCATATGCTATGATACAACTTTATGTTATAAAGTTGCACCATCACATGAAGGTACAAGTTTAAATTGTACCATATAAGAATTTGTACAAAATAGTATAGGTACAATCTGAAGTTGTACCATAATGTTAAAAGTACAACTTCAAATCGTACCATAAAGACAAAAAACTATAACACCAATACTATATAGCATTGTAAAATTTCTCATATGTATTTGTAATTTACTAGAAACTAGACTTAATAAAGATTTATTTCTAATACCTAATTTCCTTTTGATTGTCACAATAACCGTCACTATGGACACCATAATCTGTCCCAGTCACCAACCATCAATTGTACTACTGTTAATTAAAGTAAAGTAATTAACTAAGGGAGCCTGGCAGCCGCCCGTTGGACAGTAGAGGTGAGTCAAGTTAATTATCAGGTCATTGTCTATGTTATATTATTTGTAGTAGACTCTAATCTCTATAGTCATGTTGTCACAAAATCTGCACACCTCAGGAGTCAGGCCCCTCCTAGATATGGAAACCACCCTGTAAATATATTACATATATCTTCCACCCGATTCAGATTTCTGAGAGAGATGGAGAAAGCATTGGATTTGGGATGCATAATTGGTGAAAATGGATCCGGTTAGTAATTTTGTGATGAGTAATCATGCATAATTCAATTACTATCCGCTACATCAGCGCCCTTACTTTCTTCTGGAAAGTCTTTAATTTTTCTCCTTAATATTTAACGGACGATTTCTCACTCGTTTTAAGTCGGAAATTTTTTTTTTGCACAGTCATATCATATTAATTTTTGTGCTCTCAAAATGATATTCACTGTTATATATTTTTGGAAGAAAAAATTGAGTAATTTTTAACCAATTTATATCATATGGTATTGACTGGTATTGAAATAAGAGCATATCATATGGTATGAAAAGAGTATCATGGTGGTATGAACATACGATGACTGTAGGATGGTTGAATACATGATAGTATGAGTATACTAACTGTCATTTACACTTTTAACATTGTGTACCATAAGATACCACCCCGTACCAGGGTGGTATTGTTTGGTATTTTTTGGTCTTGTATTTTGTTCACTCAAAAATATTTAGATCCAATAGATCATGATGAACTCGTTCCTTTTGTGCAAATTTTTTAAAAACGACTTAAAAACGAAGAAGATATCATATCGTATGCAGTTGGTAACGAGAGGCAAGGAATTTTTTTCCTAAAAAAATATTGAAAATAGATATCATTTTGTAGAGTATAACAAACTCGTTTCATCTGTGCAAAAAAAAATTAATTAAAATCCGAGTTAAAACGAAGAAGATACGAGACGATTAAAAAAAATAAAATAAAAATATCTTTAATTCTAAATTCTTAGATCTTGATTTTCTCAATGGTTAGCATAACACGGTGATGAGCCCAAAATTGCTTACCATTTTTGTACATATCTAATATTTAATGGTTAATCATTCGCCAGTTCTTCATACAGAAAAACCTTCAAAGAGGTCAGTCGAATATGATTATATATATACTTCCTTCCAGCTAGCTATTTGGCCATATAAAGACCTCCCACAACCAAACTGTATAGATGGATCATGATCACGTTCTTCCACCTCCAGCCCCTGCCGCCGATGATCATGAAGTTGATGACAGCGGGATAACGATGAGCCCTAGAAGGCGAAAATCATCGGTGGCTTTCGCCCGCGGCGAGGATGATGATCATCAAGAGCAATTGCAAGCTGGCGATGATAATAAGAATGAGAGTGCATAGAGATGTTGAGAGGCAAAGAAGGCAGGATACCAAAGCTATCTACACTTCTCTCCGCTCTCTCCTTCCCATTGAGTATCTCAAGGTCAACAACGACGGCCCTAAACTAGCTATTAATTAATTAACTAGATTAGACACTTAAGTTGTTATTAATGTTGATTGATTATAAAATTTCGGAACAAATTGACAATAAAACCAACTTAGAAAATAATAGCACAACGATCAAGATCCAAATTGTCACTCTCCTTGTATCTATTTACAATAACAATAATAATAATAATAATAATAATAATAATAATAATAATAATAAAAAATGAATCAAAACACTCCATGCTTCCCAGAAAATCTCTCGATCTTGTAACATTAACTAGCTAGAAAACACTCAAGGCCCCAAAACTTGTTCCTATATTCATGCAACCTTTTCCCATTCTATCACGGGGAGTATGCATTTGTGCTTTCAATGGGGTGTCTAGAAGTTGAGTGAAGCACATCGATCTTATCTTACTTCATTCATGTTTGGTTGGCGATAAATTAAATGTTAAATCGTAACTTGATCGTGTACATTTAATTCTAAGTTGTCACATGTGTGTACGTAATTACATCATGCTCTACTTATTCACCACATGTTCATGTGTTTTGATCCATCATGAATACCTTGCTATGTAAATCATAGTGAAATAGAAATTGTTTCCATAACTTGTAACAATTTCTTTATTTTAGATGGATTCTTGCATAATAATTGTGTTTTTTCAAGGTTGTCACCCGGTTTAGCCCGTTGATCTAGTCAAGCAAGTGAGTTGAGGGTTATTGGTCCGACCGCTTTAATTCGGTTTAGTCCAGATATATAGAAAAAAGTCATTATATTGTTCATACATTTATAAATTAGAGTAATTTCAGATTCTTTTATATTATCCAAACCTATTAAAATGCTATTAATTAGCCATTTTTTACATTATCGTTAACAATTTTGTAACTATTTTCTTAGTTAAAATACTATTTTGGAATGTTGACCTTCATGTGTCTCTTCCAAGTCACTATCATGTTGTTAAGTCAATATTAATAACAAAATTGCTAACCGAAAGTTAACATTTGGCTAACTCTTAGTATTTCGATAGGTTTGGGTAATAAAAAAGAATCTGGAAAAGGTTTGACTAATAAATAGTCATTACCGTATAAATTATATCAAATCTCATCTAACATATGGGTAATAACATATAACATTACACCAAAATAACATGTTGTACTTGAATCCAACATATAGTGAAAATTCACACACACTTATATAACATCAATATTCAGATGTTCAATTTAGAATTCCAAATGTTGGGTTAGGCGAAAAGTAAAATCGAAAAATACTCAAACCAAAGAAAAAATGACACAATTTGACCTGCAACCTAGTACCTTACAGTGATTGACCCGGCGAATATGTGTGGCCTTTTTTTTCTCATCGAGTCAAGGTCAAAGTGGGTCGACCCGCGGATTGATAACTTTGGTTTTTTTGGAAAATGACAACTCATGGGCCATGGCTGTAACTAATTCCATAAGACAGGTCAGAGTTTAAACAATAAAAACTTGTCTACGTCATTAAGGTACCAAGGGTTGTCCATATCGTGGCAAATATGTCTTTCTCGTTGGTTCAACTTCAACATCTATTGAGCAGCGCGCTTAATTTTTTAATTTGACCGATTTCGGTCATATACTTATTCGTATCTGGCTTATTCCGTTCCGGAATATCTTTGGAAAAAAGCAGAAAGCGCCAGCTGATACATAATTCTTGAGGACTATGTATGATACTAGTTGTTATATATCCAAAAGCTAAGTACCAAATTTCTTATTCCGTTCCGGAATATCTTTGGAAAAGAAAAAAACAGAAAGTGCCAGCTCATACATAATTCTTGAGGACTATGTATGATACTAGTTGTTATATATCCAAAAGCTAAGTACCAAATTTCGCATATAAGCTTATTTGGATGACCAATTCGATTATTTATCTTTTCCAATGTCACATATGACGTATAGCTTATTTCGGTGACCATTTTGATCATAACCTTTTTCTTACAAGTTACCACTTACCACTAAAGGGCTAAACGTCTTTCCTGGCTTTTCCTCTTGCACATTCTGACATTCATATTCAGCACCTATCCTCACTGAATTACGGCGAGGCCTAATTCATGTTCGTTTTCCGCTCCCCCGTTGAATCCCCTATCAACAAAATACAGAGTCGGTCGGCTGTCCCAGAAAATTATTGTAACATTTTCGAATGAGAGTCTAAGTATGATAGTTCGAAATCAGGGAGACTAGAATTGCAATAGAATTGTGAACTGATTTAACTTTTCGAAAAAAATATTTTCGCAATTCATAAAAGTCTTGGATTTTCTGAGTACTAAAATTATCACCACTTTAGGTTCTAGACTTAAGAACACTATGAATTATGTATAAGTATTATAATTTTTTGTGTCCTAAACTTGATCGAAAGTGAGCCCCATGACCAACCCTATTGCATCTTCTTGTTCCCCCCATAACTCTCTTTACCTATTATCATGTCAAGTTGACTCCTTTATATTATATACATTGTGATGTGGTTGAACCCAAAAACCCAACCGCATCATCCACCATCCGCCCGAACCAACCGAGACTAAATGTGGGTGAGTGGTGGGTTAAAAATTATCAATCCGTTTAAGCGCGGCTGTGTGCATTTTATGGTCAAAATCCACCCGACCCACCCAATGCCCACCCCTACCCGCCACTGCCATCACCACTTTTATTTCGAGCTATTTACTTTTTCTCTCAAGCGATTTGCTACTAATTAATACATGTGGGAACTTCAAACGATCATAGTTTTGTATCCAGTTATTCACTCGACACGAACTCTTTTATTTCTACATAAATTTTTCGAGAACTACAACTTTTACTAGGGTTAAATTTTATAATGTATGAGGAAAGGTGAAAAGTACATCTAAAATTATCCACAAAATCCCTAAAATCCAAAAAGTATGTCCCCTTTTGAAGATTGTCCTCAATAAAAGTTATTTTTTAGTACTTGAAAATTTACACAAAATAGAAAATTGATCCGACTGGATGGCATAGCACAAAACTATAATTGTCTAAAGTTCAACGAAATCACAAAATGGTTCAAATGAGGGAGCAAACGAAATTTTTGAAGACAAACGTGGACTAAACAACCTTCAACGTTTGCTCATGCGTAGGTCTCGAAAAGCTATGCGAAATTAAAAAATTCCGTCCATCGAATAAACGAGCGCAAAATTATTTTCATTTTAAGTCTTAATCAATGAGAATAGAGTTTTGTTAGCAGTTTTGAGTATACTTTTAGAGCTTCTTTGCTATTTTCAATATACATACAGAAAACTACCCCTAATAAAATTTGTAATAATTGAAAATTTATGCAATTTTTTTTTTGTGTGTGATTGAGCACAAAATTACTGTCGTCTAAAATTCCAACATATATTAGTAGCAGATCACTTCAAACATTAGCGGTATATCTAAACGTTGTTGTCTTTATTGATCTACTTTCTAAATCGCTGGACAATGGAGCGATTTAGTCAAAACTTTTATATTTAGAAAAAAAAAGTCGAAGGTTGTATCGGGAGAATTATTTTAACAAATTTGGTATTTTTGGGGAAAATAGCTATTGGCTGGATTAACATAACGGCGGAGGAATTATACACAGCTTTTCCTCGTTGGTATTGATGAGTGCGGGACACACTTTTATAAATTCACCTTTTGACGAATAACTGATGTTAACTAAAATGATTAACTCGTGTGCTCCTTGTAGCTAGTAATTAGCTCCTTTGCTTTTCTACTCCGAATTAAATTAAGGCAACATGGTTGCTTCATTTGTTCATGTGTGATGTTGATTCATAGCCTGCGCAAGTTTTTAGTTTAAAATGCAAGAGACTAACAAGCACGTGCTAGTTTTTTTTATATAAAATATTATTAATCGTCGTCCTCCGAATTTTAATGCACAATTTACCAAACAGACCTTTTCGAATTTCAAATCGAAATCCTAAACAAACATACCCCTCTCCCTCTGTCATCTTCCTCTGCCACCACTAGCAGTGGTAGATCTAGAGGAGGGCCGATTCAGGCCACGGCCCAGCCCTCCTCTGAGTCCAGAACTAGTATAGTATTTATGATTTTTTTGATTTCAGGTATTCGGCTTAGTGTTATTTAAAATTTAATCTAATATTATTTAATAATAAAATTTTGTGTAATTAAAAAAAATCTAGATAAACATTTGCAAACCATTACTCTAAATCCGAACTCTATAATATTGATCTGTGACCTACAATAATTCAGCCTACTAGCTAGCGATCCCAACTCAACATGCAGTCCGTTGTCACGGAATCAACAATTTATAATTTCTCAGGTCTACAATATACCTTAGCTACAGCTACCTACGATCGAGATTATTGTTAATTAAGGTAATTAAACATACATGTATTAACTCAACTAGCTAGCTACAAACTAACCAACCATCGATCTACTGTTAATTAAAGCAATTAATTAATTGAGCCTGGTAGCCGTCCGTTGTACAGGGCAGTGAGTCAAGTGGGTTATCAGGTGTCATTGTCTATATATGCAATAATTATAGTCATATGATGTTTCATTAAAATAAATAAATAATTATAGTCATATGATGTTTCATTAAATAAATAATTATAGTCACGTTGTCACAAAATCTATACCCCTGAGGCCCCTCCTAGATTTGTAAACCACCTGTAAATTAATTAATAATAGCTTTATCTCCATATTTGGTCACACTATTTGGAAAGGGCAGCAAGTTGAGGGGTGAATATTATAGGGGAGGAAATGAAAATGGACAAAATGAGTGTACTTTTTATTATTTCTTTTCCTTAATTATTTTCGAGTCCTTTTACTATACTATAAAATAAATGATTGGTGCTTTAATATACAACTTGAAGTTGTACCTTAACATTAAATGTAAGTTCAAGTTGTACCATAAAGAAATTTGTACTATTATATTATAGTACAACTTTACAAGTTGAAGTTGTACCATAATATAAAGGTACAAGTTCAAGTTGTACCATAAAGAATATGTACAAAACAGTATAGTTATAATCTAAAATTGTACCATAACATTGAATGTACAATTTCAAGTTGTATCATAAAAATAAAAACCTATAGCACCAATACTATATAGTATTGTAAAATTCCTCATAGTTTCTCCTTCTTTTAGTTTCTCCTTCTTTTGCAAACGTTTTCCTATGATTGAAAATGCTACTGACATAAAAGTCGAAAAATGCTACATACACAGAAAACCTTGAAAAGTGGTCAGTCGAATAATTAATTAGAAAGACTTAACAATTTATGCGGGGAAGGCGAAGATCCAAACCCGGAAATGATTATATATATATACACGTCCTTCCAGCTAGCTATTTGGCCATATAGAGACCTCCCACAACCAAACTGTACAGATGGATCATGATCACGTTCTTCCACCCCAAGCCCCTGCCGCCGATGATCATGAAGTTGATGACAGCGGGATTACGATGAGCCCTAGAAGGCGAAAATCATCGGTGGCTTTCGCCGGCGGCCAGGATGATGAGGATCATCAAGAGCAACTGCAAGCTGGCGATGATGATAAGAATGAGAGCCTGCAGAAGGTGACGAGAAAGATGATGCATAGAGATGTTGAGAGGCAAAGAAGGCAGGATACCAAAGCTCTCTACGCTTCTCTCCGCTCTCTCCTTCCCATTGAGTATCTCAAGGTCGACAATTTTAGCTAACTATAGCTAGCTATTAATTAATTAATTAATTAATTAAGTAGATTAGACCCTTTGGTTGTGTTGATTAATGTTGGTTGGTTTCTGGTTTATTGATGATCGTGCATGCGTATAGGGGAAGAGGTCAATCTCTGACCAAGTCCACCAGGCCGCCATTTACATATGCCACAAAGAAGCCAAGATCCGGGAGCTGACTCGCAAGAGAGATGAGCTCATTCTTACAGCAAAGAACCCATCATCTCCATCATCCTTGAAATCGAGGACTAGTAATCTGGAGACGAGGGACAACTGTGCGATTACTGTTGAGCCTTGTTTGGTTGGAGGGGAAGTTATTGCTATGGAAATCGGGTTGGTCACGAAAAGAAGTAGCATTATTACCAATGATCAGAAGGGTGGTGGTGTTTCTGTAGTTTTTGGAGCTCTGATTCGACAAGGGCTCGACATTGTGAGCTACATTTCTACCAGAGTGGGTGATAAGATGATTCACAGTATCAATGCTAAGGTATATACCAGAGAAGATCAAATTAAGGGGTTAATTACTGATTAATAATGGAATGCCATGGCTGACAGGCTTGCGTCGTTTTGAATGTTCATGCAGGTGTGCGATGGGAGAAGCATTGATGCAGCTCAACTGCAACACAACCTGACAGCCTCATTATCACTGAATCACGAGGCCTCAAAGTCAAAACCAATCTGGGCTACCTAGCTAGCTAGCTATCTCGTGGGTTTGATTCCAACTTTCGTGTTTTTTGTTGTTGGTAATAGGTCTGACTGACTTTGTTGTTCTTCTTCTTTTTTCCATGTTCCTTCTAAAACTTGCTTCTTTTTATGGTTGCTAACTCTTAGCAGTAGCAGGGTAGTTACTTAGTTTGGACATTCTGAAGAAAAAAGGATGGATTATTTGCTAACAGATGTTGTAGATGCATAAGAGACCAAATGAATCAATTGGTCATTTGTGTTACTTTTGTGTGCCAGTAGCATTATTCGGCATCAAATCACAGTTGCTTCTACGGTCCAATATCTTGGCTGAACTTGTTATGGCAACTCCAACTCCCCATGCTACCATTTGGTATTTGTGGCTCCAACATGAGTGTAGGGATTTTTTTTCCCAGATGGATTCAGAATGCGTGTTTGAATTTGGGTGTATATATATATATGAATACTCTTTGCCACATACCTCTTGATCATCATTGATGAATTCATCATGGTGACAATGGTGATGAATAACTCAACCTTGGTATCCTAATTGGATGTGATAATCATGGCATGAATTTGGTTAAATTCATGGGCTCATCATTACCGAATAAATTAGAGAATGCAGAAATTAATGATTCGAATGGGAGAATCGGGAAATAATTTAGATACCGATTTACGTGAAAAATATACTATTTCAATACAGTATAAGAAATTGTGGATCAAATTGACAACAAAATCAATTATTTATAAAGATATAGTAGCATAACGATTAATGTGCAAATCATAAGTCCTTCTATTTATCTACGATATCCTTCAATTTAAAACACTCGATGTTTCTCATAAAATTCTCCCGATTGTATAACATAAACTAGAAAATCACTCGAGGCAAAGAGGAGTATGCATTTGTGCTTTCAACGAGGTTTATAGAAGTTGAGTGGAACACACAAATCCCATCTTACCTCCTTTTTGTTTGGTTGATGATAAATCGACGGTTAAATCATAATTGAATTGTGTATATTTAATTCTAAGTTGTCACATGTGTGCTCTATTGATCCACCATGATACCTTTATATGTACATCATAGCAAAATAGATATTGTTTAAACAACTTTTAATGATTGCCAAAATACCTTTAGATGGATTCTACCAGAATAATGGTACTGTTATTTTTGTAGAAAATAACAACTTATGGATGTAACTAATTCCATAATAACAAAATATAACAAGTCAGGGTTTAAAATTTAAACCATAAAAACTTGACCAAGTTAAAAAAAAGCGCCAGCAATTGAATGATATTATGATACACAAATAGGAGTATCAACTATCAAGCTTGTATGATACTTTAATCTGTTATATATCGAAAAGTTGTGTACCCAATGTGACATATAGCTGATTTGAGTGACCATTTTGAATCTTTGATTATTAACCCTTTTCTTACGTGTTAGTTGTTAGTTGTTACCGCTAAAGGGCTAAAAACGTCTTTCCGCCATTTTTCCTTCCGCACATTCGTCCAGCTATCCAATCCTCACTGAAGAACCCAATTCATCTTCGTTTACTCTCTCCCAGATTAATCCCTCTCGACCAAATACAGAGCCCGCCGGCCGTCCCGAAAAATGGCAGTCACCGGAACCAATCAATCACCGCCTGCACTCTCAGCCACAGCTCACGACGGCGACGATTCCCTCCCCGTCGTTCTAATCCACCGTTTCCCAACCTTCACCGGCAGCCTTTTCCCCAGCTTGCCCACTCACTTCCGCCTCCTCGATCTCCTCACCACTGACGCCTCGAATCTCCAATCCGCCACCGCAATCCTCTGCGTCGGCCCACCGCCGCCTGTCACCCCCGAATTCCTCGATCGATTTCCCTCCCTCAAAATCGTCGTCTGCTCGAGCGTCGGCGTTGACCACGTGGACCTCCCCGAGTGCCGGCGGAGAGGCATCGTCGTCACCAACGCCGGCTCCGCCTTCGCGGAGGACGTGGCAGACTACGCCGTCGCCCTGCTGATTGATGTTCTCAGGAGAGTCTCGGCCGCTGACCGCTACGTTCGGGCCGGGTCCTGGCCCGTTAAGGGAGATTACCCGCTGGGCTCCAAGGTGTGCGTTTCGAAACTTTCTTTTGTCGTTTTTTTGTCTGTAAAGGTCCCCAATTTCTGCTGAATTTGACAATTAGAGTTAGGTAGTCGATGTACTCTCTGTTCCGGTGGCCGGAACTGAATATCGCGCCATTCTTATTTCTTCTTCCAACACTCAGGTCAGCGGAAAACGAGTCGGAATTCTGGGACTCGGACGCATCGGCTCGGCGATCGCGACTCGGCTCGCCGCCTTCGGCTGCCAAATCCGCTATAGTTCAAGAAAAGAGAAGCCTTCTCTGCCATTTGCATTCTACAAAACCGCTCTCGATCTGGCGGCCAACAGCGACGTTCTGATCGCGTGTTGCGCCCTGACCGACGAGACCTTCCACGTGATCAACGGTGAAGTCATGACGGTGTTAGGCAAGCGAGGAGTGATCATCAACGTCGGCCGCGGGTCGCTAGTCGACGAGAAGGAGCTCGTGGAGTTTCTGCTCCGGGGCGACCTCGGTGGCGCCGGCCTGGACGTGTTCGAGGACGAGCCCCACGTGCCCAAGGAGCTCTTCGCGTTGGACAACGTCGTGTTGTCGCCGCACAGCGCTGTGGTCACCCCAGAGTCCATCGGAACTTTGCAGGATGTGGTGATTGGGAATCTAAAGGCCTTCTTCGCCGGCCAACCTCTGATTTCACCTGTCATAGATTGATTCAACTCCACTTCGAGATGACAATTCAATGCTTTTGGTTGAATTGCGAGAAACGGGTAATTCCCTGATTCCGAAATGGTGTTTCTTATTGATGTGGCCAATGCAGCCTCTCTTATTGAAATAAGGTTTGGTGTTGTGGAATTTGGATTGGTTTGTGACGTGATATCAAAGCTCTCTTTATTTGGTACGGCTAAAGGTCCAATCTAGTTAGTACGCTGACAGGGGACGAGATTGCATTATTTAGGGTTCTGTCATGGCATGCATTGAACGACCTGAGATCGCAAGAGAGTGACATCGGACTCTATCAGCTCATCTCCTTCAGTAAAGTACCAAAATTGTACTGGTACTAGCTAAGGAGTGACGAGTATCTTCTTATTGAACAAAACCAAATGCCAAAAGAACAAAAAGATTTCAATGGAGAAAAACATAAAATGGATGGTATCCTGACCTTCCATTATACAACACAGCACAATAGTCGACAAACTTGGGAGGGAAATTCATAGCAGAAAGGAAAAACCGTACCAAGTGTAGTGATGATGGAGAGGAATGGTCTTCATTTGGCAACAAGAGCATCCTTTTCTTCTTTTTTACCTTCCTGGCTCTTCCTGAACAGCTTGTGCTCAATATGCTGAGCGAAAGTGCGAGGAGGAAACAGAGCCGGGTCTTTCTCCGAAACCACCTCGGGCAATGGCTGGAGTATGATCTTCTCCTTGGGCGGCTCGCAGAAGACCGCCCACGAGATCCTGACCTTCTCCTTGTTCACAAGTCCCCTGTGGAGAATGCTCTTGTACTTGCCATTGCTCAGGATCTCAACAGTATCCCCAACGTGCATGATGATGGAGTTTGGGACGCATTTCGCAGTCACCCATTTGTCCTGGTAGAAGAGTTGCAGGCCAGGGACCATGTTGTGGAGGATGAAAGTTAGGGCGCTTACGTCGGTGTGGGCTTCGACGCCTAGGGCCAGTTCCGGCTGAGGGCACTTCGGGTAGTAGTTGATCTTCATTTGAAGCAGCAGCTCTTCCATCCCTCCAACTTCTTTCTCTAGCCTCCCTTCTTCTAATCCCAAGCCAAGTGATAGAACTGACAGGATTTTGGTCGTTAGCACTCTCAGCTGCCTTGCATATTCACTAGTCGCCTCACTGCAGAAGAATCGTCATTTTTAGTGGCATATCTCAACTCATTTTCTGCTTGCTTATGATTATGGAATGAAAGTAGTATTCGATTGGGACTTACATGTAGTCAGTGGGGTTCTTGGGCCAGATGGAGAGGTCCCTTTTGTCCTCAGGGAAGACAAGGTGGAAGAAGTAGTCCTCCCATTCAAGCTGCCCACTAGCATTGTTAGCAAGCTTGCTTCCATACCCTTGAATCTTTCCCGAAGCTTGATCATTTGCATACTTCTCCTTCTCCTCTATCGGAAGTTCGAAGAAACCCTCACCGGCTTTCTTGACAGACTCCATCAGATCATCAGGAATCCCATGGTTGATCAGGTGCATAACCCCCCACTCTTTAGCCGCATTGATAAGTTGTGCCCTGCATTCGTCCCGAACCGCCTTGTCCTCCGAATCCATCATGCCTTTCAAATCAATGGTGGGGAGCTGAGGCCCTTCTTCTTTCTTCGCTTCATCAAACACGTCACCAATGCTCGTAAGCTCTTCTTTCGGCCTGATGTATTCTTTGGGGATGGATTGGATCCCACTGCTTGCCAAGCTCTCGACTCTTGAAGCTACTGAAGCCGCTGCCATTGTTGTAGATGTGAAGAGACAGAAGGAGGAGAAGAAGTGTGGAGAAGTGTTGGCCAGGTGTTTAAGGTCGTTGGGTGGTGAAGGGTTTTTATAAAGGAGTGAACTTTTTTGGTTCTGAAGGAATTCAGTGGGTGTTTGTTTTGGTAGAGCCTAAGCCAACCAAACAAAAAATGAAATGGGGAAAGGTGGGTATTGCATTCACGTGATGATTGGTTGCTTTGCATTGCACCAACCTGGGAATAACACTGTTGGGTGTTGAAGAGATGGAGGGTTGAGTTGACTGGAAGGTTTGGGAGCACGAGGGTTTTCCCCATAGTTCACATTCTCTAACTACCAATAACGACGATAGCTCTGTGGTTTGGAGTGGACAGTTACCTTCTTACCCACGAAAACAATCTAACAAGCACAAGCCAATTGATTGGAATTGTTCGCTTCTTCAGGAGAAGTTTCTGAGATGTCCAATTGTGGGAAACAATTTATTTAATTCTGGTTTACACTTCAGAGCAAGTGGTTTGCATCTTCATCTACAGAATTTTAAAGAAAAGCTTCTTAATCTACTCAAGGTGTAGAGTACACTGCTTACGGCAGTCATGCTGCTGAATTGGTAACTTTCGTTTTCTCTGTTTCAAGTTACCATACGTCCATACCCATTTGCTCAAGTCACTATTCATGCTAGCCACCGGCAAATGATCAGAGAGACCAACAAAGACTCTGACCTTGTGCCGCGGTGTAGCTCGGCTTCAACTACCTAGGTGAATATGAGGGACTATAGCTGACAGATGGGTATAGACAAATTTACAAAGGTACAGCCTTATAAAGTACCATTATAGACATTGAAGTCAGACTTCATTATGATCGAATCCATTTTGGCAACAAAAACCTCAACAGATCCCCTCAATGCCTCACTATACAACCTATTTTCCAATGTGAAATTCAGTTTCCCTTTCCACTTCCTGTTGCTTCAAAACTCTCCACCCTAGGCATCATGTTTCCTTTTAACCAACCATGCACGGTCCTACAAACAATATCGATACATCGGTTCATAGTCTCGCAAATACAAATAGAATGGATGAAGAGGCAAGGTTTAAAAGAAGAGAGCACATTTACCATCTCAAACCAGGCTTCAATCTGGTAGAGTGATCAACCGCGTGTTGGCATCATAGATCATTGGAGTTCCACAACTGTTGTAACATGCGAGCAATAGAGCAAGCATATGAGTTGCAGGGGACTGCAGTTGTTTTGTAAGCACTAAAATGGGAGTCAGCTGATTGATGATGAGGGAGTCCAGAGAGCTTACTTGGAGCATTTGAGGTTGTTGGTAGTGCCGCCACTGGAAATGGAAAGTATGCTCCCAAAGAAAGACCCGTTCTCAGTGCCACAGTTTGGGCAAGGGCCCTGAGAGAGAGAGAATCAAATAGAGACAATTGGAAGACGGATGTTCTGCACTAGGATTCTGAGCGAGACGAGTTTAGTATGAAGAGATGTTGAGTAACTTGGAAATCTCATATACATACCTTGAGGATGGTGAAATCCTTGATGATTGCGTTTGTCAGGGTTAGAGCTGACCAGACTATGAGAGGGACAGCAGCAAACCAGGTGAAGATGAAACTGAATGGCTCAGGAAGCTGCACAACTCAACAGAAGTTTGCCGGAAAGTTATAACCAAAAGAAATATGTTTTGAAGATTATGAAAGGAACTCGAGAAAACAAGGGGAAAGTTGTTTACTTCCAGAAGGTATGTGATCTCAAAGCCAGTCACATCATCCAAGAAGAAAAATCTGCAGGTAACCACAACCGAAATCACTTAATAAATCAGGTTGTATCAGGGTGAATTTCTCCAGTTCCAGATTTATAGCTATAGGTCTGCCGTAGGTACAAAGATTATTAATGCTATAGAGGTTTTAGTGAGTTAGAAGACTAACAAGCCAAGTGCGACAACAGTAGCCGGGACATTCAGAAGGAGCATTTTGAGGTAGTCCACATTGAGGTCACTGTAGACCTGCAGTAGAGAATGGAGCATATTCGCTAAGTAATAGAATCCAGTGGAGGTAATTTGTTCAATTGATTATGGATCAGTGCAAATGCAAGCGACGGTAAGGGTAGACTGGTGATAAACCAGGCAAATACACACCTTTCTGCTGCGAAGACTGCATCTTGGACCTTCAACAACAATGTCACTTCCTTCTGTCTGCAAATGGCACAAATCAGAACATGAGACAACCAAAAGCAAGGCTTCTTTCAGATGTTAGTTGGGCAATTCAGTATTTCGTTGTATCATTAGTAACAAGGATTAATTAGTAAGTACACTGATCAGCCCCCTTTCAGGTACCAAGAAGGCATACAATACAACGCAACTTCACACATAATGCATCATCATCATAGTACAAACCTTCAACTTCAGTTTTAGGTTATCGAATTCTTTGTCGTTCATAATTGGGTTCCCAGCCACATATGCCATAGACGCTTCCAAGAACCTCTGCTCATCAGCAGCTGCAAAAGTGACAACAAAGTCAGAGAAGAATAAAAGGAATTTCGAGCCAAATGGTATACAGACATCATGGTAAAACATGATGATTAGTTCACCTACATAGCATAACGACACTGCTTCCTTCCCACATTAGTTCTTCCTTGAGATTGTCGAATTCCTCATTAGACATTATCGCTTTTCCTTCATAGTAAAATGACTGCAAGGAAGACACAGAATTTTGTCCTCCGCATCAAATCTCTTCATTTGATGGAATCATGGAAACTAGAGAAGCAATTAAGAACAGAAGAAATGTACTTGTAGTGCTTGAAGAAAATCCTGCTCCATTTCTCCGATTGACTTCTTGTCCTTCTGTTCTATGCTGCAGTAATTCAGAATCTTGCTGTCCACTACTTCATCTTCTTGCACCTGACCTGCAAATTTAAAAAGTTTTGGTCTTTGCTGAGGAATTGCTCGAAAGGAGAAGAAAAGAAAAGGGACGCAAAGGCCAAAAAACCCAGAAATTCAAGACTATGTAATTCTTCTAAGTAACTAGTTCTCAGGATTTGACTGACCTACTATAGACGGTAATGAAAACCATCTTCAGTTAATTCCAGACCGATATCAACCATCTAATCAAGCCCGGAGAGGGAGAAATATATGCTAATTCCAGGAATCAATTCATATAATCCTAGTGACCAATCACTCAATGGATGACTAAACTGTGTCTCACTAGTCACCGTTCAAGCCTATCACTCCAGCAATCAGATGTAAACTGAGAAATCCTTCAACCCAAACTCATAAAGCATCGATCTTTATCACCGCCACGGCGCCCCAAATTAAAGCTCAAAAGTTCCATTAGCGAACTGATAGGGAACTGTTTCATTGAAACAAACACAAACCTTGCTGATCAGCAGTGGCCTTGACTGGAACCAAGACAATCCTTCTCCGCAGGCAAGCATTTCTTCTTCCGCTGATGGACTGAATCGGGTGAACCTTGGAAGACGATGAAGAAAGGGAAGGCTTGCTTATGGGAGGAGTGGAGAATCGTGGGGATGACAAACTGAAAGCCAATTTGGTAGCCATCGTAAAATCCCAAAAAAATTACTCTGCTTTAATGAAGCTGGGGGTGGGTTTAAGGATTCTGTTGATGGGTTTCATTTTGATCTTGAAGGCGAGGAAGAATGGAAACAGAGAGATATGCAAGAGGATAAGGGATGTGTGGAGGGAAATGGAAAACTGCATTTTTCAAAAACTACCAAAACCCGAAAAGCATCATTTTGGCCAGCTCAATGGCTGATTCTCTGCCCTAGGCCTGAGAAAAAATCTGTCACATTGTACTTCATTGTTTGTTTTTTTTTTTTTTTAAAGGATCAGTTAGATTGCAGATGGGACTAGCCAATGGAAAAGAACACATACAAACAATAAGCAACAAAGGGCCAGAAAAACAAGACCCAAAGACCAAACAAAAGACTCGAAACCCAATAGGGCCCAGACTAAGCCCAACTCGAGCCCAGATCTCCAAACCCTAGCCGCCAAATTGTTTGTCCCTTGATTCCCCACCTCCGTTGGCTGCCACAAGCGAGCCTCCCTCCCACCAACCGGAGTCCATGGGACGGTGACCACAAAAGCACCAAGAAAGCCAGCCGGAGCAAAACCACCCCGGACAAAGGACAACGAGAGGCGCAAGAACCACCTCAAGCCGAAACCTCGCCGGACCAAACTCCAAAAGCTCCCCAACGTTGAAACCAGCGAGAGAAGCCTCTTGTCGAGAGGGCGTTCAGTGACAAAATCTTGGTGGTGCACTTCTATCTTCAGGATCTTCTCTCCGAGTCCAAGTTGAGCGCCGCATCTCCGAAACACCAAAACTTGTAAGGTGAAGCAAGGAGGTAGACGAAAGGAGAGAGGAGGAGAAGACAAGTCGAAACAAAAGAATCAACCTCCTTTTGCATCTAAGGATGAGAACATCTCTAGATCTGATAGATCAGATCAGAGGACAAAAAAACATCCCAACACAGGGGAGGAAGAAGACCCACCTGTAAATGTATTGAGAATCACATCTATTGTATTATTGAGTCTTCAAATATATACACATTGTGAGCAACTAATTGTAGCTACAATGAAGGGAAGTGGATAGAAACAGAAAGCAGAAACTCAAGAACTATCAGCTACAATATAGCAACCGTAAACTAGTGGTTGTAGAATATGTCAAAGGAAGTCTCCTTATCACGCCCCTGCAAGTGAAGCCTCAAAGAGGTGAAACTTGGAGCAGAAACGATTGAACGGTAGCCGATGGGTAATGAACGTGAAGGTGCTTCGCGACGATCAGCTGCCTCTTGGGAATCGACTCGCAGGGGTACTGCTTCCCGGTGGAATGCTCGGTGTAGAGGTAAGGACCCCTGAATTGGCCCCGACCCAATTCTTTCATGATGGTGTAGTGGAGCTTGACGTCCTCGTAAGCCTTTTCGAGGATGGTGTCAGGTCTTTGGGCCGGCTGGTAAGGGGAGCGGGGATTTGGGATGACCCGCTCTTGCTTATGCAGCTACCGTTGTAATATCCAGCTGCTGCTGATAGATTATCAAAATTCTGGATCAGCCAGTGAAAGTAGAGGAGGAGGAGAAGAAAGATGTCGTAAGGGTTGAATTGAAGTGTGGGAGGTTGGGTTTTGGATGAGAAGAAAGATTCAGAGATGATGAGGCAAGCGTAACAACAGAAAGAAAACCAAGGAAACAAGAATTCCACAGTACAGATCTATGATTAAAAAATGTTGAAGAAGGTAAAGAGGGGAGCAAAGAGCTAGATCAATCCAAAAGAGTAACGGGAGGAGAAAGAGGGTGGAAGAGAATGCAGGCTTATGAGGGCTTATCAAAATTTCAAAGAGTAGGAGAAGGAGAAGACCAAAGAAGAAGTGAGAGATGGAGGGGGAAGTTGAGATACCCATGTTGAAGGAGAATAGAAAAGATGAGATATGGACAGATGATTCAATGTTGTCATCAGACATGGCCGCAGAGAAGAGGAGAGGCAAGAACAAATAGGATTTGAAAGAAAGAGGAAGCAGGGGAGTGAGATGAAAAACAGAGTGGGGAGAAGACACTGCTAGACAAGTTGAAAAGAGAGACATAATGTAGAGACTTGATTTTGGAGAGTGGGGGAAGAAAGATATATTGTAGACTGTTGCGAGTGCCGCTGCGAGATCGGGGAGTAGAAGAAGTTGCAGGCGATTAGTAAAATCTGCAGCCGCCATTGATTGAATAGAGGAGAGGAGATGCTGATCAGGGAGATGACGGGAAGAAGCTAGAGAGGCGGGAGTTCTCATTAGGAAGAAGAAGAAGAAAAGAGGGAATTATGTGGACAACTAGCAGAAATAGGGATTTAGTTGCGTGGATGATGGGTGAAGGCTTGGAAGCCTGGAGAATGGGAACTCATCCCGCCGCCAAAAGAAAAAAAATCGTGTGTTCCTAGATCTGTAGGCTGTTAAGCAATAGGCTCTGATACCATGTAAATGTATTGAGAATCCCAACTATTGTATTATTGAGTCTTCAAATATATACACATTGTGAGCAACTAATTGTAGCTACAATGAAGGGAAGTGGATAGAAACAGAAAGCAGAAACTCAGGAACTATCAGCTACAATATAGCAACTGTAAACTAAGGTTGTAGAATATGTCAAAGGAAGTCTCCTTATCACCGAGGGGAAAATGAGAGCCAAACCATGGCTGGAACATGCAACAACAAGGAAAGGGGGGAAATAAGAAAAAGGAGGGAAAACCAAGAAACTGATGACAAAAGGAGATCAAAACAGGGGAATGAAGGATGATTAAGATGAGGAGAAGCAGGGGAAGAAAGATGGGAAGTAGGGGAGATGAGTGGGTTGCCGCCGGCCACCAGGGGGTGCCGGTGGCACCCTTTGAAAATTGTAGAAAGTTTCTACTTTTAAGAGAGAAGGGAGAGATTGAAAAAGGAAGAGAGAGATATAGTTTCTTTGAGATATTATTTCATTGTTGATATATATTAGGAGGGTAAAATATCTCGGGTACCACTTAAGTTTGAGAATTGGGACAAATATATCACTTAAATTTAAATAGGGCGTTGGGTACCTTTAAAGTTGTCAAAATGTGCATCCGTCTAGTTTTCCATCCAACCCAAAATTCTAATTACTTTTTGGTACCCAAAACTTTTAAAAACATCCAAAACTATATTTCAACAAGTTTTTATCTAATATAGAAATTGAAAAATCTTCTAAACATAATATTACTAAAATGACTAATCGAAATTGACAATAAAATAGATAAATTAGTAAAAATAATAAATAAATATCAAGAAGAAGAATAAATATATAGAATATAATAATTAATATTTAAAATCAATATTAGAAGATCAATTTAAATTGCTAATCCAATTAGAAGTACTATTAAAAATAGTTAAAACAGAACCTAGTCGATCATCAATACATCAAGACCAAAGAATGATAAAGGGAATCAAGTCAAAAAGAATTAAACATATTCCAGTAGTTGAAAAAAATGAGAACGAAAAGAGAACGGAAGTAACCAAAATTCCAATAATAAAATCTACAGCATTCCGTAACAAATCTAGAAAAGAAAATACGACTATAGGAAGAGAATTATAATTAGTAAATTTAATTAATATGGAACAGCTAAAATATAATATTAGAAAATCAAGGATATTTAACATAAAAAATTATACAACACCAGCATGATGTACGAGAATTAAATATAATCCTCAGATGATTTATATCGATATATAATTCATAGTAATTGAAAATACTTATAATGATAATTGATTCTACATTTTCTATTCAAAAATTGGTTTGGTATCAAAGTCTTCAAAAGATGATTCCAACGAAATAGAATTCATAGGATATATTTGCTTTAGAGAATAATTCAATTATTAGAAAACATAATGATAATTGAAAATACTTATAATGATAGTTGATTCTAAATTTTCTATTCAAAAATTAATTTGGTATCAAGTCTTCAAAAGAGGATACCAACTAAATAATAAAAATTGATGTTTTTCATAAGTCAAAATGATTTTTTACAATAAGAAAAGTAGAAGGACCAACTAAGAAATTTAGAAAACAGAATATTCCTAGAATATTCTGTTAACTTTAACGGCATGCACCTAACATTAAACTTAAGTGGTACCGGGTGCATAAATAATAGAGTTCAGTGGTACCTGACGCCCTATTCAAACTTAAGTGGTATGTCTGCCCCAAAAAGAACGAATATTTAAACTTTTCGAATTTGGAGATTGATATATTGAAGTTTTTTTGTATGAAAGTATATTGAAGTTTAAATAGAACTTCTGATAAAAAAAAATTATGAGCGATAAATTGCAAGTTTGGTCACTGAGTTTACCAAAAGGTTCACGCTTGATCACTGAAAATATTTAACTATTTGTGGTCACTAAAAGTAGTTAAATCGTTCAAGTTTGGTCACTTTTCGTCCAACTCTGTTAACTTTAACTAATGTGACAGGCAAGAATGACCGTGAATTGAAAAATAAAAATTTCTTGACAATAAAGTTTAAAGAAATACTAATTAGGCAAAAAAAAAAGTTACAAGAATTACCACCACAAAAAAATTAGAATGAAATTTAGAACTCAAAAAGCAAATAAGTTTTACATATATGCTCCTATCGTCTTATTATCATTTTCCTTGTTTTATTATTATTATTATTATTATTATTATTATTATTATATGGGACTGATAAGTTCAATTTACAACTTCTTTTCCTCGGAGGCCGCCAGCAGCAGCGCCGCCACCACCACCAACGTCGCCGTCGCCCTTTTGCAGACTCCCTCCACAGAGATAAAGAATTCTCTCTTTTTGAGTTTCAACTTTCAACGATCTATGGTTTTAGCTCCCTGGGAATCGAATTGCATACTCGGCCGCCCTTATATAGTGCGGGAAGTAATAATTAGCAATGTGATTCCCAATTCGTAAGAAATCAATAATATATTCATTGGTCTTTCTAATAAATTATTTTCTATAACAATGTATATGCAATATCATAAAATTAATTATCATTACCACCATTGAGGGAAGCCTTTCTGGCGCAGACATGACTGGGCTGGGCTGGGCGCCCATTTACTTCTCACATGTGGGTTCGAAACCTTCGATAACCTTTCCTTCTGGACCTCTCTTGCGCTATTAGCCTGTTTTTTCCTTTACAATTGGACTTGGAGATTGGTTTGTTAGAATGAGTGGCGCTTGAGGTTGTCACTAGTTCTTGGAGTCAATTATTTAACATGGTTCAATTTTTTTTTTTTACAAAAGATAATCTCATATAGATTGAAACAGAGGTAGTTACA